CGCACTACAGTTGTTTAATGCAACAAAAATTACAGCAGACATGAAACTAACAAAAACAATGGACCAATAAAGGGCAGAGGAAAAAGCAGGGTATATAAGCACACAGATACAGGTGTAACACATTAGGGTGGGGCAAACAATCAACAGACAAGAAGTAAAAATCAAAACTAGAAGCTGACAGTACAAATGTCAAAATAAAACACCAAAGGCACACTACACTACAGGAAAAATATAAACCAAAATAAGAAAAAACAATGACTACAAAACATGAACCATGACAGGAAGTCCTTCCCTGTATCCATGTGCCTGGATGTGTATTGCTCCTGAAAACCCAAAATAATATCCAAATAATTGTTTTGGCAGGACTCCCAGTCGACATTCTCTTGATATTGCCGTGTTTTGTAGTCCAGAGTTACACGTAAAAGTAACTCTACTTCGTAACAAGTCCAAGTCCAAACAAGCTTTTATGAGTGTTTGCCATCATCATCATCATCTTCTTGTGTTTGTTTGTTGCGGAAGATTAAGGACTTTATGTGCATGTGCTCTCTGTAGTATTGTGTGTCCAGTGGCTCTGGCTGTATCCTGTTTACAGACGTGGACAAAATTGTTGGTAACCCTCTCAGCTCTATGTTCACAGATGCAAAAATGAAGCACATCAAGAAAAGAACACTGTCCCTAAAGCCTCCCTGAAGCATGGAGGAGGCTTGGTTTTGTTCTGGTGCTGTTTTGCTGCATCTGGCTCACGGTGTCTGAATCTGTGCAAAATACAACAGAATCTCAAAACTATCAATGTATTTTGGAACAAAATGTGTTGACTAGTGTCAGAAAGCTTGGTCTCAGTCGTAGATCATGGGTCTTCCAACAGGATAATGACCCAAAACACACAGCTAAAAACACCCAAGAATGGCTAAGAACAAAACTTCTGCAGCGGTCTGTGAGTCCAGATCTCAATTCTATTAAACATCTGTGAAATGAGCTGAATCATGCTGTGTGGAGAAGGCACTCTTCAAACCTGAGCCAACTAGAGCCACTCCTCGTGAGTTTGCTCAGTGGATCAGTGGATCAAAATACCTGTTGACCAGTGCAGAAGTCTCATTGACAGTTACAGAAACCGTTTTTTTGCAGAGTTTGCCTCAAAACTTGTGCGACAAAATATTTTGTTAAGGGTACCATCATTTTTGCCCAGGCCAGTTTCATTATTTTGTTTTTTCTAATAATTCTGTTTAACCACAGGTGAAAAGCAATGTTTGATTTTCATTGGACAATTTTCAGTAATTTTTTTTATTATTCTATTTATCAGTTTCAAGTTATTTAAGTGATGACTGTTGATTTTTCTTTCATTTCCAGAGGGGTACCTGTAATTTTGTCCACGACTGTAAGTGTGGTATATGTATTACCTCGCTTTTCACTCAGTACTCAGTACTAACAATTATTGATCTGACACGTGTAAGGACATGATTATTTTTCAACCTGCAAAAAAAAAATAAAATAAAAAAAAATCCAGGAGCGTTGTTGTCTGGACGTAGTCTTACTCGAAGGAAACTACTTTCTCCCCCTCTGGGAGGGACATGCAGGTGAGAGACTGTATAAGACAAGGGAGAGACCTGTAGACTTGTGTCAGAGCTCTGCCTGTGAACCTCATTACTGAAGCTGTGGGTCTTACTCTCACTGTTGTTTTTACAGCCAATTTTAAAAGTCATGAAGAACAGCACTCAAAATCCTGCCTATTTTCAATTTACACTTTTTACAGATTATGGACGTCTTCGATATCTGTTTTTTATATTGTCTTTGTTGATCTACATGATGATAATCTCTGCTAACATGGTCATTATAATCACCATTTTGATGGAGAAGTCTTTGCACCAGCCAATGTATATCTTTATCTGCTGTTTATCTGTGAACTCTCTGTACGGCTCTGCTGGATTCTTCCCCAGGTTTTTGGTCGATCTTTTGTCAAACACTCACTTAATTTCACGTACTTCCTGTTTTATTCAAATATATGTGATTTACACATATGCTTCTTGTGAGTTTACAATACTTGGAGTCATGGCTTACGACAGGTTTGTGGCCATCTGTCAGCCTCTGCATTATCACACTAAAATGACCATAAGGAAAGCACTGTTTCTATGGGGCGCTGCTGTTGTTTACCCAATATTTACATTAAGTTACGCTATAGCTCTTACTAGTGAACTGCCCATATGTCATGACAAATTAGATAGGATTTTCTGTGCAAATAGGGCTGTTGTGAACAATTCTTGTGGCGATTCCACACATGGTGATATAGTTGGTTATTTTGTTATCTTTACAACAGTTTTCATCCCTCTGTTTTTTGTGCTGTATTCCTATGTGCGTATTCTTATTGAGTGCAAAAGAGGCAGCGCTGAACTGAGAGGAAAAGCTCTGCAAACCTGTCTTCCACATGTGGTGACTTTTGTGATATATTCATTTTCTCTTTTTATTGAAATGTCCATAGCAAAATATGATACAAACCAAATTAACCCAGTGATCAGCGCTATTCTGTCTTTGGAGTATCTACTGGTGCCTTCCATCAATAACCCGCTCATTTATGGACTAAAGTTGCCTCAGATCAGAACAGCTATTTTTCGACGTTTTAAAATCAGAACTAAGGTCTTCTTTGCTTCAGTGTAGATATATAGCTGGACAAACATTTTATTAAGAAGCCACTTGAATGAGAGGTGAAACAGCTAAAACTTCATTTAGTTTACAGAATCACATTTTTTGTTTGATTTGGATCATACCAGGATGACGGAGGCCTACACAGACATCTTCTGTCTAGATGTGAAGTCTCTATTCATGTTAAACTAGGGTGTAACGATTTGAGATTTTTCTATGAATGGACATAAATTCAAGAATTACAGTTTAGAACATGTTTGTACAGATCAAACTACAGGGTTAGTAGTTTTAATCCAGAATAAGACTTTTTTTTATTATTATTATTTATTTTAGGAGGAAATTGTTAAAAATTGCAGCCTGCCTTGCAGCAGATTTGCTAATTGAGTCCATTAAACTTGCATTTTCCACTTTGGATGTTTCATCTTGCTACTGTAGTTACGGTAATAAGTTATGTTCATGTGCTGTCCCAGTCCATGGGTTTCAATGAATGACTATGTTTAGATCTATAATAGCTGTAATTTATTAGGTATGTTTATAAAACCTACACTTCATATGGCATGTGATTTAAACATTACAAAAATTATGAAAACTGTAGTGTCTGATCAGTGGCATTATATTTTGTTCTGAATTGGGAGATTCCAGTTGTTTATGTGCTGTATTTGGTTTTAGATAAAATAATAAAATAAACACTGCAATTAATGTTTTTGTCAAATGTAAAGATTAAAACAGATGTCTGACATTATAAGAACATAATATAATACCAATCCGAGGTCATGGTTTTCGACTAGAAAAAGGTGGTTTGCCCCCTCCGAGTGGGTGGAGAGCCCCTGCCTCATGTTCACGAATGAGGGGAGGACGGAGTGTGAGATTCAGAGGTGGATCGGTGCAGCGTCTGCATTGATGAGGTCGCAGTTTTGGACCATTGTGATGCAGAGGGAGCTGAGCCAAAAGGTCAAGCTCTTGATTTACCGCTCAATCAACCTTCCTCCCCTCACCTATGTTCATGAGCTTTGGGTAATGACCGAAAAAACAAGATCACAGATACCAGTGATTGGAATGAGTTTCCTCCACAGAGTGGCTGGGTGCTCCCTTAGAGATAGGGAGAAGAGCTCAGTCACAAGGGAGGAGCTCAGAGTAGAGCCGCTGCTCCTCCACATTGAGAGAAGCCACCTGAGGTGGCTTGGGCATCTATTCTGGATGCCTCCTGGGCGCTTCCCTAGGGAGGTGTTCTGGAGGGTCTATATCTCTCAGCTGGTCCCCCCAGAAGAGCTGGAGGACGTGTCTGGGGTGAAGGAAGTCAGAGAGTCCCTGCTAGACTGCTGCCTTCACAACCTGGCCCCAGATAAGCGGAAAAAAAATGGATGGATGGATGTATTAGTGATGTCACAATGTTAAAATATCAACTCCATTTCAATACTAAGGTAAAGGCTTTCGATACCAACGTGATGACTGAAAACACCATCTTTAAAACAGTATAATGTGATTTTCATCACAAAATAATATCACCATATGGACTTTTACCAAAGTTCTAATATAAATTAAGACTCTTCTAAAACTATTCAAGATTTATCCTATTTACATGATTAATTTTTAGTATTGTTGCTTTTTATACTGGTTTAGTATCTATTAGATTCTGTGTATATTTCTGAAATAAATTGTTAAAGGGTCTGAAAGAATGCAAGTTTTTCAATATATTTTTAGCAATAAAACACAGGCAAGTTAGAAGAGTTTTAATGAGGGTAACGGTTATCAGTAGGAGAAGTGTGTCGCCACTCGTGCGGTTGCAAAGGCCCAAATCTCGGAAAGTAAATGGAGGACGACTATGTCCAGTTTGAGAGCCACAGGACCAGGACACATTAGAGGGACTATGTCTCTCAGCTGGCCTGAGAATGACTTGGTGAGCTGGAGGAAGTGTGTGGGGTGAGAGAAGTCTGGGAGTCCGCTCAGACTGTTACCTCCATGACCCGGCCATAAAGATGGATGGTAATTTGAAAGGCAAAACATCAAAAACTGTACATAATCTGACCATTTCAAATGATAATAATATTAATCACAGTGGGAAGGGTAACTACTTACTCAAGAAAGATTATTGTTACAATGTTAAAAATGTGACCCAAGTAGAAGAATAGTGCCTGAAAGCAACTCTGAGAAGTACAATACCTTTAAAAAGTTACTCAAGTAAACATCAGCCCGATTATAATCTCTGTGGGAGGGACACACTTCAACAATATAAGACCTGGGACTGTAGCATTTCAGGGAGTGTCTCAAAGCACTTTCTATGACTTTTGTTCCATGATTCAATAACAATAGTTTAACATATTCATTTGATAGCTGTTCTTATTTGTCTTTTTAAATGATTTGAAGTCATGAAGAATGTCACGCAAAATCCTGCCTTTTTTCAACTAACACTTTTTTCAGATTATGGACGTCTTCGATATCTGTTTTTTTCATTGTCTTTGGTGATCTACATGACGATAATCTCTGCTAACATGGTCATTATAGCCACTATTTTAATCGAAAGATCTTTGCACCAGCCAATGTATGTCTTTATCTGTTGTTTATCTGTGAACTCTCTGTACGGCTCTGCTGGATTCTTCCCCAGGTTTTTGGTCGATCTTTTGTCTGGTTCTCATTTTATCTCACGTACTTCCTGTTTTATTCAAATACATGTCATTTACACGTACGTTTCTTGTGAGTTTACAATACTGGGAGTGATGGCTTACGACAGGTTTGTGGCCATCTGTCAGCCTCTGCATTATCACACTAAAATGACCATAAGGAAAGCGTTGTTTCTCTGGGGCGTCGCTGTTGCTTATCCGGTAGTTACAGTGACTTACTCTTTGGTTCTCACTACTCTACTTCCTTTGTGTGGAAACCAATTACATAGGATTTTCTGTGCGAATAGAGCAGTTGTACACCTCTCCTGCGGGGACACCACACACAGCGTCATTGTTGGTTATTTAATTTTCTTTACAACTATTTTTGTCCCTCTGTTTTATATCTTGTCTTCATACATGCGAATCCTCATCGTGTGCAAAAGAGGCAGCGCTGAACTGAGAGGAAAAGCTCTGCAAACCTGTCTTCCACATTTAGTGACTTTTGTGGTTTATTCCTGCTCTGTTTTTATTGAGATGTCCATTTCACAATTTAACACTGGACAAATTAACCCGATAGTCACAGCTATTATATCACTGGAGTATCTAATAGTGCCTTCAATCAATAATCCGCTAATTTACGGTCTTAAACTGCCAAAGATCAGAGCAGCGATTTCTCAACGTTTTAAAATGAAAACTAAGATCATCTTGGCCACACATCCAAGATAAAAATGAGGAATGACCAGAGGTGGGGAGTACTCAGTTACATGTACTCAGTTGCAGTAACTTTTTAAAGAAATTGTAGTTTTTAGAATAGTTTTCTAGCAGCATACTTTTATTCCTACCTGAGAAATATTTTTATTGAAGTAACAGTCCTTTTCCCACTGTGAGTAAGTCTACAAGAGGAATGGGATTGACGAGCCTTCCACTTATATTGTCTCATAATGTCGAATAGAGCAGCACTGCCTTTTTGTTCTTTTGCGGCAACAGATAATCCATTATATAAGGTACTTAACATATTTTTCCAGCTATAAGGCGCAGTATCAATAATGTTGAATTCTTTTGTCTATTTTCACACATGAGGCGCACTAGATTATAAGGTGCATGAAGCGAAACAAACGGGCGACACTTGAGACTGATCCCTTAGCCCAGACATCCATTGGCAGATCATGGCGTAACTCGCCCGTTGTTGCCTCCCTGTCTTGGTGAATGTGTGTTATGAATGTAAATTTGGGTAGATAATTTATGTTTGTTTTTTTTTATTTCCTACGAGGAGGACTTAGATACACTTTGAGTAATAATGTGTTTAATACAGCTGTGGGCACATTTGTTTATGTTTTACAAAAATGAAACTTAAAAACACATGGCTCATTTGCATAAACTGTAAGCACAGAAAAAAAACTGAGATTTTGGCAGAGTTTTGAGCGCTATGTACCACATAAAATCGTTTCGAGTTTAGTAAGCACAACCAGACATTATAAGGCACATTATAAGGTGTGCCTTATAATCCGGTGCACCAGATTGTAAAGAGTACTGTAGATTTTTGAGAACCTTAAAGGATTTTAACTGTGCATTATAGTCCAAAAAATATGGTAGTTTGTCTAATAGCACCCTTACACATATTATACAAAATTTACTTTTGAGTTTGTTACTTTGCTGTCCTCAAAAACATAACAAGAAATGTCTTTTATATATATATATATATATATATATATATATATATATATATATTATTTTGACAAATAATGGTTTAGTAAAAGTCTCCCAAACCCCATAAAAAGACGCAATTTTGAATTTCCCAGTTTTGTTACAAAGCAAGTTAAAGGATTGGAAGTCTTCTGTTTTATTTTTAAGTCCTTAAATCAAAATGTGAGCATTTCTATAGTCAAATCATGTTCATTACAACTGCATGCGTGTGTTAGTGTGTCAGTAAAAGTTGCTCACCCTAACTGTTGTTTGGTATCGTTGAATAGTAATTCACCATATTGCCAGGTCAAATTGTTTTTAGAGCATGCCTCTAGAAGTGTATCTATTGTCAGAAGATAGGCATTGTTTTAAGTTTTAAAGCATGAAATGTCAAAGCAAAGGTAGTCAAGGATATGTTTAAAAGTCCTATATTACACAAAATGAACACTTGTGAACTTTGGATCATGTTGGAATGTTTATACCTAATGAAAAAACATACCTGGAGTTGTGTTTTGTTTCATTCACACACATTTGAGGAATCCTTTACTACTACTATACTGTCTACATCTCCATAGCTCTGTTCCACCTTGTGATGTCACAAAGAAGTACTTTTGATGTAGTGAAGGTGTATGGAGTTTAAAAACACAATGGAGCATATCCTGTATTATCACATGATGACAAGATGGAACAAATGTTTTCCATTTGAGTGCAACAAGTGCTCCACTGTGATTGTAAATTGCATATACCATATAATTGCCAAGCTCTACTGAACTAAAGACAAAAAAAGCTGAGAACTTGAAAACTACCACTTCATGACACCACAAGGTGGAACTGAGCATTTTGGGGATGCAGAGAGACTAATAATAAAGGGTTACTCAAATATGTGTGAATAAAACAAAACACAACTCTAGCTGTTTTTGATGAAGAAATAACATCAAGATGCTCACAAGTCACTTTTGCTTAATGTAGGACCTTTAACTTTAACTCTGACTGCACTGCTTTAGATTACAGAATAAGCCTGAGCATTTCTGGGTGGGTCACATGCAAATCCTTTGACTACGCAATATAAAACCTGAGAGCGCGGCTTCACACTTTACATTTTCACTCAGTTTCATGTCAGCATTTCTCAATAATTGGTCTTTTTGAATTGTTGTTGTTGAGCTGATTTCAAGTTATGAAGAATGTTACGCAAAACCCCGCCTATTTTCAGTTTACTCTTTTTGCAGATTATGGACGTCTTCGATATTTGTTTTTTACAATTTGTTTGCTGATATACATGACGATAATCTCTGCTAACATGGTCATTATAATCACTTTTTTATTAGAGAAGTCTTTGCACCAGCCAATGTATGTCTTTATCTGCTGTTTGTCTGTGAACTCTCTGTACGGCTCTGCTGGATTCTTCCCCAGGTTTTTGGTTGATCTTTTGTCTGATTCTCATTTTATTTCACGACCCTCATGTTTCATTCAAATGTATGTTATTTATACATATGCTTCTTGTGAGTTTACAATACTCGGAATCATGGCTTATGACAGGTTTGTGGCCATCTGTCAGCCTCTGCATTATCACACTAAAATGACCATAAGGAAAGCACTGAGTTTGTGGTTGGCTGGAATCAGTTATCCTTTTGTGTGCTGTTTTGTGGTTATGTATTTAACTGTACTATTACCTCTGTGTGGAAATAAACTGCCTAGGATTTTCTGCGCAAACTGGCCTGTGGTTAAAAACTCTTGTGTTGATACGACACATAACAATGCAGTGGGTCAGTTTGTGACTGTAACTACCATCTTTATCCCTCTGCTGTTTGTGCTCTTCACATATGTGAGAATTCTCATCGTGTGCAAAAGAGGCAGCGCTGAACTGAGAGGCAAAGCTCTGCAAACCTGTCTTCCACATTTAGTGACGTTTGTCACATATTCTGTGTCTGTTTTTCTGGAGTTGTCACTGACACGATTTGACAAAATTAACCCAATAGTCACAGCTGTTTTATCTTTGGAGTATCTAATGGTGCCGTCCATTAACAACCCTCTCATCTACGGACTCAAGCTGCCACAGATCAGAGCGGCCGTGTACCAGCGACTCAGGATCAAGCCAAAACTGTGAACCACCTTTAAAACAGAAAACAGTAGATGGCTCTTATTCAAGATTGAAAAAGTGATGAGCAAACACAACATGAAGGATGTGCACCCACAGAACTGATCTCTAATGTGACACAGAGGATGGTGCAGTGGTTGTTTTCTTATAACATGCTTTCTCTTTGTTACAGGAAAAGTTGATATTCAGACCTTCTATAGAATGCCTAGGCATTTGTTATAGTTTTATACCTGAGCTATTGTTTTGGATATCAGCTGCTCTGTTCTGTTGAACCTGATAATTTACATTCGTGATGACACTCTGTATATTACTAAAGCTCAATATACCAACAAAAATCTGCATTTTAACAACATGTCCTTATGAAATCTTATTGAAGTATTTTGACCTGAAACTCAGAAATATGTGAATTTTCTCTTTTAGAAAGAAAACTGAATTGATGTCAGAAAGCAGATCATAGACTGTAATGTTACAGAAATGAAAAAAACATTTCTGTGATCATTGACTTCGAGTCAACGAACATGAAATTATTAAATCTTGTTTTTTTCTCACAATAATCAAAATACTAAAATTTGACCGTGACACTCCTACTGGGTGCTATGTCACAGTCCGGCTGTAGTACAGGTTACATCTGGGCTTGATGAGGAGGTCTATAATATAATAATGCCAAAAGACACGAGCCCTGGATCATCACCTTTGCCTGTGACATATACAATGTAATGTTTTCACTAGCTGTACCATTAAAATGACAATCGATATCTACTGCTGGATGTCTGTGCAATTTCATTTCATGATCTCAATCAACGTAACTGTATGTCTCTTATCTAAGCTCCATATACTTTGTTGTGCTGTTAAGTGAGAGTGAGACAGAGAGAGAGAGATTTTATTGACCCAGAGGAAAATTCAAGTTTTTCTGCAACAACATTTACACTGAGCTTCTCAGTCACCTTTGTGTCTTCCTCTGGAAGGTCTTCTGCCACATTTGCTGCCACATATGGAGTAAAAACGTGTGTCCTTTGAACTGCACGTGCAGCACTTCTTAAAATACCATGATATGATACAAAAAACTGTGGTAAAACCTTGATTACTTGATCATTGAGGAACCATGGCCTTGTATTTAGAGGAGCTGACCTTGTGACCAGCTCCCTGTGGCAAGGCTGATGATGATGTACACTACCAGTCAAAGTTTGGGCAAACATTCTTTTTATTTTTTCTTTAAGTTTACTATTTTCTATACACACACAGTACACATCAAGTATATGATGCAAGACATATAGAATTATGTAGCAAAGAAAAAAATTAAATAGTTCAGTTGCCCCTCTTTGAACCGTCACCTTATTGTGGTGGAGGGGTTTGAGTGCCGGGAGCTATGTTGTCGGGGGCTTCATGCCCCTGGTAGGGTCAACCTAGGCAAACAGGTCCTGGGGCACGGGTCAGACAAAGAATGGTTCAGAGGCCCCTTAGGACGAGTCACATACGGAGACCAGTTACGTCACCGGGAATGGCGTTATCAGGGCCCCACCCTGGAGCCAGGCCTGGGGTGGGTGCTCGATGGCAAGCATCCGGTGGCCGGGTCTTCCCCCACGGAGCCCGGCCGGGCACAGCCCGAACGAGCGACAAGGAGACGCCCTTCCATGGGCCGACCACCTGCGGTAGGAGCCATATGGGGCTGGTGCAGAGAGATCTGGGCGGCAGTCGAAGGCAGGGGCCTCAACGACCACATCTCCGGACATGGAGACTGGCTCTGGGGACATGGAATGTCCCCTTGCTGGGGGGAAAGGAGCCTGAGCTTGTGTGGGAGGTTGAGCGTTACCAACTAGATATAGTTGGCCCCACCTCTACGCACAGTTTGGGCTCTGGAACCCAACTGTTTGAGAGGGGCTGGACTCTATTTCTCTGGCATTGGCCGCGGGGAGTAGTGGCAGGCTGATTTGAGCCTGCTCATTGCCCCACAGCTCAGCTGCCATGTGTTAGAGTTCACCCCGGTGAACGAGAGGGTCGCGTCCCTGCGCCTTTGGGTCGGGGACAGGTGACACTGTGGTGTCGGCGTGCGGGTCGAACAGCAGTGTAGAGTACCCGGCCTTCTTGGAGTCCCTGGGAGGGGTACTAGACAGTGCACTGACCGGGGACTCCGTTGTTCTACTGGCGGAGACAAAAACTCAGAGCTGGGAGGAGTTCAGGGAAGCGATGGAGGAGGACTATTGGATGACCTGGAAGAGATTCTGGCAAACCGTCCGGCGCCTCTTCACTAACACTGTTTATAGTGTGGGTGGAGAGCTGTTGACCTCGACTGGGGACGTTGTTCAGTGGTGGAAAGAATACTCTGAGGATCTCCTCAATCCCACCGTCACATCTTCCGAGGAGGAAGCGAGGCTGGGGACTCGGAGGCAGACTTGTCCATCACCCTGGCTGAAGTCACTGAGGTGGTTGGCAAGCTCCTTGGTGGCAAGGCTCCGGGGGTGGATGAGATCCATCCTGAGTATCTTAAGTCTCTGGATGTTGTGGGGCTGTCTTGGCTGACACACCTCTTCAACATCACGTGGCGGTCGGGGACAGTACCTCTGGACTGGCAAACCGGGGTGGTGGTCCGTCTGTATAAGAAGGGGGACCGGAGGGTGTGTTCCAACTAAAGGTGGCTTGCCCTCTCCGGGTGGGTGGAGAGTCCTTGCCTCAAGTGGAAGAGTTCAAGTATCTCGGGGTCTTGTTCACGAGTGAGGGGAGGATGGGGTGTGAGATTGACAGGTGGATAGTGCAGCGTCTGCAGTATGCGGTCGCTGTATCGGACCGCTGTGGTGAAGAGGGAGCTGAGTCGAAAGGCGAAGCTCTCAATTTACCTATGGTCATGAGCTCTGGGTAATGACCGAAAGGACGAGATCACGGATACAAGCACTTGAAATGAGTTTCCTTCAAAGGATGGCTGGGAGCTTAGAGGAGCTCGGAGTAGCGCCGCTGCTCCACCACGTCAAGAGGAACCAGTTGAGGTGGCTCGGGCATCTGTTCTGGATGCTTCCTGGGCGCCTCCCTTGGGAGGTGTTCCGGGCATGTCCCACTGGGAGGAGGCCCCGGGGAAGATCCAGGACTTGCTGGAGGGACTATGTCTCTCGGCCAGCCTGGGAACGCCTTGGGGTTCCCCCAGAGTGCTGGAGGACGCGTCTGCGGTGAAGGAAGTCTGGGAGTCCCTGCTTAGACTGCTGCCCCCATGACCCGACCCCAGATAAGCGGAAGAAAATGGATGGATGGATGAAGTTCAGTTGATTATTTTTTTATTTACTTTAAATTCAAATCCTCAAAGTGTCCACCCTTCACTTTGCTGACCATGCAGTGAACCCTTGGCTTTCTTTCAGTGAACTTCATGATGAAGTCTAAATGAAGTCTGTACTTTTACTTGAAGGAAACTACTTCCTCCCCCACTGGGAGGAACAGACAGTATAAGACGAGGGTGAGGCCTGTAGACTTGTGTCAGAGCTCTGTCTGAACCTCATTATACTGAAGCTGTGGGTCTTACTGTAGTTTTTACAGCCAATTTTAAAAGTCATGAAGAACAGCACTCAAAATCCTGCCTATTTTCAATTTACACTTTTTACAGATTATGGACGTCTTCGATATCTGTTTTTTATATTGTCTTTGTTGATCTACATGATGATAATCTCTGCTAACATGGTCATTATAATCACCATTTTGATGGAGAAGTCTTTGCACCAGCCAATGTATATCTTTATCTGCTGTTTATCTGTGAACTCTCTGTACGGCTCTGCTGGATTCTTCCCCAGGTTTTTGGTTGATCTTTTGTCAGACACTCACTTCATTTCACATACTTCCTGTTTTATCCAAATATATGTGATTTACACATATGCTTCTTGTGAGTTTACAATACTTGGAGTCATGGCTTACGACAGGTTTGTGGCCATCTGTCAGCCTCTGCATTATCACACTAAAATGACCATAAGGAAAGCACTGTTTCTATGGGGCGCTGCTGTTGTTTATTCACTGATTACAGTAGGTTACGCTATAGCTCCTACTAGTGAACTGCCCATATGTCATGACAAAATAGATAGGATTTTCTGTGCAAATAGGGCTGTTGTGAACAATTCTTGTGGCGATTCCACACCCAGTGATATAGTTGGTTATTTATCTGTCTTTATAACAGTTTTCATCCCTCTGTTTTTTGTGCTGTATTCCTATGTGCGTATTCTCATTGAGTGCAAAAGAGGTCGTGCTGAACTGAGAGGAAAAGCTCTGCAAACCTGTCTTCCACATGTGGTGACTTTTGTGATATATTCATTTTCTCTTTTTATTGAACTGGCCATAGCAAAATATGATACAAACCAAATTAACCCAGTGATCAGCGCTATTCTGTCTTTGGAGTATCTACTGGTGCCTTCCATCAATAACCCGCTCATTTATGGACTAAAGTTGCCTCAGATCAGAACAGCCATTTTCCGACATTTTAAAATCAGAGCTAAGATCGTTTTTGCTTCTGTGTAGATATCAAATACGGAGAAAAAATCAATTCTGTCAGCTGGACAAACATTTTGGTTCAGTTCCCCAGAACTGAAGAAGCCCCTTGAATGAGCAGTGAAACATTTAAAACAGAATTATATTATATGTTTGATTTGTATCATATCAGGACAACGGAGGCCTACACAGACATCTTCTGTATAGATGTGAAGTTTCTATTCATGTTAAACGAGGGCGTAACGATTTGGGATTTTTCTATGAAATATGAAATATGAATTGACACTAATTCAAGAATCACAGTTCATAACATGTTTGTACAGATCAAACTACAGGGTTAGTAGTTTTAATCCAAAATAAGACAGGAGATTTTATTGTTTTAGGAGAAATGTGTCATGTTACTTAAAAAACTGCAGCCTTTGAGATTTGTTAATTGAGTCCATTAAACTTGCAGTTTCCATTTCGGCTGTTTCATCTTGCAGCCCTATAGTAGTTGCGGTAATAAATTCTGTTCATGTGATGTCCTAGTCCATGGGTTTCAATCAATGACTATGTTTAGATTTATAATAGCTGTAATTTATTAAGTATGTTTACAAAACCTACACTTCATATGGCATGTGCTTTAAACATTACAACAACTATGGAAACTGTAGTGTCTGATCAGTGAAATTATGTTTTGTTCTGAATTGGGAGACTCCAGTTGTTTATGTGCTGTATTTGGCTTTAGATAAAATAATAAAATAACAACTGCAATTAATGTTTTTGTGAAATCTAAAGATTAAAACAGATGTCTGACATTATAAGAACATAATATAATACCAAAGTATTAGTATTAGTGATGTCACAATATTAAAATATCAGCTCCATTTCAATGCTAAGGTAAAGGTTTGACCCACATTTTGATAACAAAGTGATGACTGAAAATACCACTTTTAAAACTTTTAAAAATGTGATTTTCAACACAAAATAATAAAGAATATCGCCATGTGAAGTTCTGATATATATTAAAACTCTTCTAAAACTATTTCTGATATGTCCAGTTTTATCCTATTTACACGATTCATTTTCAGTATTGTTACTTTTTATACTGGTTTAGTGTCAATTAGAATCTGTGTATATTTCTGAACTTAATTGTGAAAGGGCCTGAAAGAATTCAAGTTTTTCAATACATATTTTTTTAGCAATAAAAGGCATGCAAGTTACATACAGTGGGCCCAATCTTGTCCCCAATCTCAGCAATAGTGCAAGTGTGGGGCGTGGAGTTCTTAACAAAAGATGTGCCATGGCTGAATATCAGGTGGAGTGGAACAGACTGAGAGACAACTCTATCTGTTTTTGATGAAGAAATAACATCAAGATGCTCACAAGTCAATTTTGCTTAATGTAGGACCTTTAACTTTAACTCTGACTGCACTGCTTTAGATTACAGAATAAGCCTGATCATTTCTGGGTGGGTCACATGCAAATCCTTTGACTACGCAATATAAGACCTGAGAGCGTGGCTTCACACTTCACAATTTCACAACAGGTGTTTCATGTCAGCATTTCTCAATAATTGGTCTCGACATTTTTGAATTGTTGTTGAATTTATTTCAAGTTATGAAGAATGTTACGCAGTACCCGGGCTATTTTCAATTGACTCTTTTTGCAGATTATGGACGTTTTCGATATTTGTTATTTACTTTTTTCTTGGTGATTTACATGACGATAATCTCTGCTAACATGGTCATAATAATCACTATTTTATTAGAGAAGTCTTTGCACCAGCCAATGTATGTCTTTATCTGCTGTTTGTCTGTGAACTCTCTGTACGGCTCTGCTGGATTCTTCCCCAGGTTTTTGGTTGATCTTTTGTCTGATTCTCATTTTATTTCACGACCTTCATGTTTCATTCAAATGTATGTTATTTATACATATGCTTCTTGTGAGTTTACAATACTCGGAATCATGGCTTACGACAGGTTTGTGGCCATCTGTCAGCCTCTGCATTATCACACTAAAATGACCATAAGGAAAGCACTGAGTTTGTGGTTGGCTGGAATCAGTTATCCTTGTGTGTGCTGTTTTGTGGGTATGTATTTAACTGTCCTATTACCTCTGTGTGGAAATAAACTGCCCAGGCTTTTCTGCGCAAACTGGCCTGTGGTTAAAAACTCTTGTGTTGACACAACACCTAACAATGCAGTGGGTCAGTTTGTGACTGTAACTACCATCTTTATCCCTCTGCTGTTTGTGCTCTTCTCATATGTGCAGATTCTCATCGTGTGCAAAAGAGGCAGCGCTGAACTGAGAGGCAAAGCTCTGCAAACCTGTCTTCCACATTTAGTGACGTTTGTCACATATTCTGTGTCTGTTTTTCTGGAGTTGTCACTGACACGATTTGACACAAACAAAATTAACCCAATAGTCACAGCTGTTTTATCTTTGGAGTATCTAATGGTGCCGTCCATTAACAACCCTCTCATCTACGGACTCAAGCTGCCACAGATCAGAGCGGCCGTGTACCAGCGACTCAGGATTCAAGCCAAAACTGTGAACCACCTTTAAAACAGAAAACAGTAGATGGCTCTTATTCAAGATTGAAAAAGTGATGAGCAAACACAACATGAAGGATGTGCACCCACAGAACTGATCTCTAATGTGACACAGAGGATGGTGCAGTGGTTGTTTTCTTATAACATGCTTTCTCTTTGTTACAGGAAAAGTTGATATTCAGACGTTCTATAGAATGCCTAGGCATTTGTTATAGTTTTATACCTGAGCTATTGTTTTGGATATCAGCTGCTCTGTTCTGTTGAACCTGATAATTTACATTCGTGATGACACTCTGTATATTACTAAAGCTCAATATACCAACAAAAATCTGCATTTTAACAACATGTCCTTATGAAATCTTATTGAAGTATTTTGACCTGAAACTCAGAAATATGTGAATTTTCTCTTTTAGAAAGAAAACTTATTTAGGCTACAAGATTTTTTGAAGACCAGCATCATTTGAGTGTTCCTGCAGTGGACAATTTAAATGATTCTTTTAAGAGACATCATTCTACATCCTCAAATCTTTCACATTTTTGTCGGAATATGAGGATTTCAAGCCGAGGAAGATTGCAAGCATGAAAACAGTCTTTTCTTGGACATGTACTAACAAGTAGTTCTAGCTAAGTTGTCTTCTGTTTGTCTATGTTTGTTTAAACTGTTTTCCACAGTAGCATCACATGACCGATATCACAAACCCAATGAATCAGGAATGCGCAAGTCACAATGATGTCAGCGTATCAGTGTCCACACAGTGCGAGATCAGATCCGTACTCAGATGAATTCGTAGGAGCTGGTGGCACCAGATCGTTCCATCTCTAGAGCCGTTTTCCATCGGATTAGTGTGAATGAACACTGCATCCATAACAAAAATGACTCGAATGCGTTCTAGTGTGGATGGGACCTAAGCAAGTGTGACGTCACCCATAGCTTAAAGCACTACTCCAATGAAGCTTGCGATATCAGTGGTTACAGGGGCAAATTTCGTACCAGGCTCTATATTATGAATAGGACTTTTAAAACAAACAAAATAGGAAAATAAAAACACCAGGTGCTGTAATGCAGGTTAATGCAAACATTTTAAGACCAAAATGACAAGGCTCACAGCAGCAGTTACAGAGAGGGGCCATAATACTCCAATGTAAGTCAATGGGAGCCAGGGTCAGTAGGAACTGGAAGTGCCCACATGCGAACTTATGTCCATTCATATATACAGTCTGGGGGAGACACAATGCACACATTAACAAACACTATCAATATATTTTAAGATTGTCTGAAAACTCAAGAAAAAATACTAAATGGATTTAAAGAGCACATTTTAAGGTGATCATTACGCACGTTCATGGTCCTGTTTAGGTGTTTGATTTTCAACAAAAAAGATGAGTGTGAGTAACTGAAAAACTGTTGGTCAAGGTCCCATCCACACTAGAATGCATTTGAGTCGTTTTTGTTCTCGATGCAGTGTTCATCCACACTAATCCGATGGAAAACGGCTCTAGAGATCTGCTGCCGCCAACTCCCACAAATTCATCTAAGTACGGATCTGATCAGGCACTGTGTGGACGCCTGAAAACACTGATACGCTGACATCACTGTGACTTCCTTCTTCATTCGCTGGGTTCATGACACATGTGACGCTATTGTGGAAAACTGTTAAAATAAACCCTAGACAAACAGGAAACAGCGTACCTAGAACTACTTGTTAGTACACAGTCCACAAAAAGACTGTTTTTACCCTTGCCATCTTCCTCGGCTCGAAATTGTCTGCTGCAACTTACTAGCATATCAGGTGGTTTCGCGTTAAAAGGCGAAGTATAGTTCTATAGGTTTATGTGTATGACCTGCAGATGTAACAAAGGAACAGAGGACAGGCGACATTCAACTTGTGACTACAAATCCTGTTGGAAATGGACAAACTGAATAAAACAATCCTCCTTAAAAGTGAACTGTTGAATTTGCCTTCATCTTTCAAATTCAACAAACTAATGGAACTCACTTCAACCCCATGGACTGTTTTAAATCCACAATATTTCTCCACATATTCTGTGTGTGACAATGACTGTTTATGAAGTATGATTAATGAATAATCAAAAGGGAGAATGTGTGATTGAAATTTAGATTGTGGGAAGATTTCTCTTATTCTGTCTTTGTGTAAATGAATGTGATTTCTACTTGAGACCAGACCCCCACAGGAAAATATTGATTACGATTGATTACATTAAAATAGTGATCAGTTTATCTTTTAGAAACACATTTGGTCTTGTAATTAAAACTCATTTGGCTTGTTAGAAAGACCCTTCAATGTAAATACTTCTGTAAGTGAAGGAAGTGACAAATGCAAATCAGATCAATCACATCTGGCCACACCTTAGTAGGAGTCGTCACCTTCTCACTTTGAAATGTATGTCTTCTGGTCATCTCAGGCTATATAAACTTGATGCTTTGTAACATTGGGGAGATACAGTGGGGAGATGTAGTAGGAACATACTGCTGGTGGAGAGAGGCTGTTGGGCTTTGGCCAGAACAGGCCTAGTGTAAATGATCTCATGTATTTTCTGCACTTCTACTACTTTTGTTTTAAGTATTGTAATGCGTTTGTACCAAAAATATAATTAATGCTTTTATTTTGAAAGGCCGCTGTACAACAGGAAGCGGACAGGAGAGAGCGGGTGTTTATCTCCCGGCTAACAGTAGTGCAGCTAACTGACAATTAGCACAACGGAAAGTTTTGTTTGTTTAATCTAAAAGTAACTGAAAATGTATCAAGTTAATATATGGTCCATCCCGCTTAGCACCTAGTTGATGTGGGAACAAGGTTAGTAATGGATCATATTGGAATTACTTTGCTTTGGAAATGTTTTGTTTTTTTGTACTTTGAGCCGTTATAGTTTTGTGTCAACACGTTATAATTTTGTCCACTAGATGGCGCCAGTGCGCTTCGCCTAAGCAATGTTATGCGCAGTGTGACAATTAGTTTTAATGTGTAATTTCTTGTTCAATATAGATTAATAGCAATGTTGCAGTGCGCCTGCTGCCTTCTGCCACCAGGTGGCGCCTGGGTTTATAAAAGCGCACTCCCCGTAGCGTCTCGTTCTCTGACCTCGGCTCACTTCCGGGATAGGGCTCCGCCTTGTCGCGCACAGGTAAACAACCGCTGTTCTTTAATTACAGTTCCAAGTTTACATTTTAATGTGTGGCTTTATTGTAGTGCCACCGCTCCTGGAGTCCCAATGTGCCCGATCGAAGTTATGGCTCGTGAGTAAAGCTCCTGTGTGTATTTGCTGTTGATCGCTACAAGCGCCGCTGTTGGCCGCTGTCCACGGTTGGGTCAGATGCTCCGGCCGCTCGGCCTCAAGCCTCGTGGATGTAGAAGCGTGTGTTTTGTGGTACGTTGGCTGGTCACTGGTTTAGGTTCATGTATGGGGCTACCACAAAGTGAAGGATAAAATATAATGTTCATTTTTAGGGTCCAGGGTGGTGTTCGGCACATCATCTGGTGGAGCGCTGGCCCTGTGAACGAGCTGCTGCTTTGTCTTACTGTGTTTTATATTGTAAGGACAAAGTCATCATACACCTGCTTTTGTGAAGCCTTTAATCGGCAGTTATGTGAACAGTGAATAGTCTACTCTTAAAGTTAATGTAACAAAAAGGAAACAAATGAATAATGGTAACAATAAATTATTTCATGTTTTATAAGTCACTTGTCTCTGTTTATCAATTAACGAACTTGTGAGCCTTATTTTAGTTTAGCAAATTTAGTTTTAGGTTCTGGGCTATGCCCAGTGGCGTTGTTGGTTTTATGTTGATTATATTACGTTTGGGGTGCCCTTACCCACCCTCCTAAATACCCCGCTCGCCACAGCAAGGTTCAGGTTTTATGAGTTTTGTTGTCAATAAATAGTAATGATTGAAAGGTTAAAAGGAGTAAATGTGAGGGTTCTCCCTGCTCCTCTTACCCCTCCTTTTCCTGCTCCCTCTCTCTGTATCCACTTACCTTGTTTGGCATTTCCTGGGCGTGGCCCAATCATGCACCTGCTGAGCTCCACTCCTGTTCTTCAGTAATCATCTCCTACAATAAAAGACCTGCTGACCAGCTCTCAGTGTCAGATTGTTCCGTCATCCCAGTGGTGAAATACTCAGGCTTTTTAAGATTTTTTGAGAATTCCTGAGACTTACCTGTTTCTTTTGTACTATCCCCAGCACTTCATTTGGAGCCAGCCTCATCCCGTTACCACCAGTTTCTGTAAGCCTCCGGTCAGCCTCCATCTCCACAGACCTCCCATCTGCAGCCAACCTGGACCCGTCCTGCCTCCCCTGGAATCTATCCCCCCGCCATGACTATTTTTGTGTAATAAATACTTTTTCCCCTCTGCACATTTGGGTCCGACCAGTGATTCCCTAACAGTAAAAGGTACACTGTAAGAGATAATTGATTTTATTTCATTTTTTTTTTGTAGCTCTTACGGTGTGTTCACAAACAAGGCCCAAAAATAAAAGTTGTGAACCATCAGTATATGAGACCATAATTTGAACCGGGATGCTACACCTAGGCCCTGTCTATATCTGCTGTAACAAGAATAAACCTTGGTCTATATTCCAAAAACTCATCGGGCTTCGCAAATGGATTAATTATTTATTTTCAAGAGATGTATAATTTTTGTCACAACAACCTGCAGACGTATAATGAAAAGTTTAACATGAATCATCTCCAACACAGTAGCACAGAATAGATTCACCATCAGCAGAATACTGCTTTGTCACAGACAGAACACATATAATCCCCTGAGTTGTGTCCTTTTTAGTCCGACAGAAGCTGAACTGTGTCAGGGCACAAGGAGTGAGCACTTAGTTTATGCAAATTACCCATGTGGTTTTATGTTTCATTTTCGTAAAACGTAAACAAATATGCTCAAAGCTGTGTGGATAAGGAAGGCTTGCGGATACAGAAACGACGTGTCTGGATGCAAATAGTTTCCTACACAGTGAAACGGTGATTCGTTTCAGTGTAAACATAACTTAAGGCTATAACTTCTTGGGTTCTTTTTAAAGACAATACAGTAAAGTTATTAAGCCCTGATGAAGACCAGTTAAGGTCGAAACATGTTGGCTTTGGCCATTCAAATAAAGGCCTTTTAACTATATTTTTCCTCGTGCGATGTGTTAACTTTTTCTACTTGTTTGGAGTGCCTGGAATCCGTTGTGTTTGAGTTTTGATCCTTTTTCCAAGAGCTCCCTCTACTTGCTCCTACTGATTGGAACACCTGCAACAAACATCACTTTTGTTCTTTCTGCACAGTAAAGTGTATTTACCTTGTTGACATGTTTCGGCTGCTCGCTGCAAGTCATCTTCAGAACTGTCACTGGTGTTGGTGGTGACGTGTTGTATAACAGCTGTTGTTACTTCCTGTGGTCGTGGTCCGCCTGATGGACCTGCAGGTCGCTCAGACTGACCACGCCTTCCGTCGCCCGGTGTTCTCTGGAGTGTGTGTCCCAGGTGTGTGAAAGGAGGAACACGTCGTCATCACGGTTAATGCTGTTCGTGCCTCGTTTCCTGATTTCAATGGCCTCCTTGATCCAGCGTTTGACCTTGTTTTCTGATCCAATGACCCGCCGTCCCAATCCATAATGTGATTATTTCTTTTACAGTGGTCTGATATCGATTTGTTTTGCATTATAGGCTGGGATCGGGGTCTTGATGTTAATGCTTTCTGGCGAGCTCGCAGCCGAAACACGTCAACAAGGTAAATACACGTTACTGTATTGTCTTTAAAAAGAACCCAAGAAGTTAAAGTATATAAGAAGACAAAATGAACATCTTTGGCATAACCTAAGGCTAGTTTATGAGTGTAATGTTATGAGACTTGTTTAACAGCATAATAGTAATTCCAGTCCCATTTCTTAAATATTATGAACATAGTCAAAAACCAACCAATGCATAAATTCTACTCCGAGCACTGACCAGCTTTGTCCTCTCTGCTGGGAATAATAATTGGGAAAAACAAAACAGATGCGTAACTTGGCAACAGAAGCTAATAAATGCTAATAGCTCATGGTTGCTGTTGGAGATTACACTGGAGTCGTCTTCTGTGTATTTTAATAACTCATTTGAACACCACATGGGCAAGTCAAACAAAATGAACATAAGTAGAACTAATCCGGCGTATTTTGAACTGACTCTTTTTATCGACTATGGAAATTTACGCTATCTGTTTTTTGCTTTGTGCTTGTTGATCTACATGACGATAGTCTCTGCCAACATGGTCATAATAATCACTATTTTATTAGAGAAGTCTTTACACCAGCCAATGTACGTCTTCATCTGCTGTTTATCTGTGAACTCTCTGTACGGCTCTGCTGGTTTCTTCCCCAGGTTTTTGGCCGATCTTTTGTCTGATTCTCATTTTATCTCACGGCCTTCCTGTTTTATTCAAATATACGTCATTTACACGTACGCTTCTTGTGAGTTCACTATTCTAGGCATCATGGCTTACGACAGGTTTGTGGCCATCTGTCAGCCTTTGCACTACAGCAGCAAAATGACAATTCCAAAAGCGTTATGTCTGTGGGCTGCTGGTGTTGTCTATCCAGCAATTTTCTGTGGAGTTTGCCTTTACCTCTCCATTAAATTGCCACTCTGCGGGTACAAACTCCACCGGATCTTCTGCTCAAACTGGCCAGTCGTTCAAATTTCTTGCGTGGACACTACGCTGAACAGTATAGTCGGACAGTGTGCAACTCTGACCACGATATTCATTCCGTTGTTATTTGTGTTGTATTCTTACATGCGAATTTTAATCGTGTGCAAAACGGGTTCATTGGAAACGCGGAGGAAAGCGTTGCAAACCTGCGTTCCTCATTTGGTTACTTTCATGACTTATTCTACGTGTCTGTTTTGCGAGCTTTCCATGTCTCGATTTGACGGAGACAAAGTGAATCCGTATGTGGTCGCTGTTTTGTCCTTGGAATATCTTGTAATCCCGTCATTGAATAATCCTTTTATATACGGGCTCCATCTCCCACAGATTAGGACGGTCATTTTTAGACATTTTAAAATAAGACAACAAAAGGGAGTTCAAATTTAAAATGTAAAAGTGTGAAATACTGGACGCACTGGAATACTTTGACTCATTTGAATCCAAGTCTGGGTTTAGTCCAGGTTTTTCATAGACCTGATTTGGACCTGGTTTAGATGGGGTTTAGTACATGTTAAATCCTGTTTTGGACCTGTTTTCAGTCCTGGGTTAGTCCTGATTTAGTTCTGGTTTAGTCCTGGTTTAGATCTAGTTTGGACCTGATTCAGTCCTGGGTTAGTCCTGATTTAGACCAAATTCCACCCTGGATTAGTCCTACTTTAGTTCCGGTTTAGACCTGGTTCAGCCGTGATTCAGTCCTGAGTTAGTCCTGGTTTAGACCTGATTCAGTCCTAATTTAGATGTTTTATGCAAAATACAATAACAAAAATATATATTATTGACCTTGATCTATATCTTAATAATATCATTTTAAATTATATAGTTTTTAATGAAATTAACGTAATGAACTATTTTGGTTATGTTTTAATTGATAGAAGTTGCCAAGTAAAAAAAAAAAGAGCCCTGGAGTGGGACTTCCAGGACTTGAACTTGACTAGTTTCATCTTTAGTCCTTGTACTGCAGATATCGGTTTTAATGAAATCTTTGTTTTAATTTCCAAGGTAGTTTAATGCTGTAAGAACTGTAAGAGTATGACCTGTTAAGTGAACCCAAATAATAATAGAACATTTTTTCTTAAAGGCTGAGCTGGATTTGAACAAGGAGAACTTAAGTGTAACTGAAAAAAATCTAACTCAACTACAACTCTTCTGCTTTGTCTTTATTAATGTTTTATTGTCTGTCTACACAGCACTGATTATTGTGAGTTTATAATGCTGTAACCTCATCAGAAATGTACATGGAGTTGTTTCTTTCACACGTTTGAATAGCCCTTTATTATTACCATATTTTTTGGACTATAAGTCACTCCGGAGTAGAAGTTGCACCAGACTATAAGTGGCACTTCTTGGGGGAAATTTATTGTATAAAATCCGAGACCAGGAATGAACATTTTATCTTGAAAAATCAAGTTATAGTAACAACAACAGAACAGAGAACAACAGACTGTTAACGTCACATATGAACAGTTCTTCAGATAAACTATAACATAAACAACAGAACAGAACAAGTTTACCAAACTCTCCATCTCACTCCAAATCACTAAATCCATTCAATTCTTCATCCTCGGTGTCACTTCTGAGCAATGGAGCGCCGCTTCCTCTTCTGTGTAGCTGTCGTCAGACTCAGCATCAGTTCCAGTTAGAATTATTTTGGTCTTTCTGAATCCCGACAGATGGTTTTGGTGTCACTGAAGGAAAGTTTCATGGTGCATTCTCCCGGTGTCACAAGTTTCTCACTCACTCCAAACTTTTTTTCTGCTGTTTGATTACCGTTTTCGGCTGCAGATTTCACTACTCGCAGTTTGTAATCTGCAAAATATGATTTTCTTTTTGAGGGCATTTGTGTTCAGTTTTCTCAGTCATCTTTATAAGTTTGTTTGTTAAATTGTTTGTTAAAATGTAAAATTTTCAGTGGTACAAAAGTAATGGTGCGATCGACTGACATGATACAGACAGAACAGAGGCTCTTTCTGCAGGAGACATGCGCACAGTAGAGTGAAGTGACAGTGGTACAGGAGGAACAGGAGCAGCAGATACTCACACACAAGACTAGAGCGCCCTCTCGTGGCTGTCAGTGTGAACATTTTAATAGAAGTCTCACAAGAGTATAATTCGCAGGACCACCCAAATTATGAAAAAAAAGTGTGACTTACAGTCCAAAAAATACAGTAGTCTGCCTCTATCTCCAAAGCTCAAAACGCTCTGTTCCACGCTGTGATGTCATGTAGTGGTAGTCTTCTGGTTAGCAGCTCCCTCTTACCTTTAGTTAAACCTTGGGGGGCATTTGACATCACAAAGTAGAACAGAGTGTTTTCAGTTTGAGAAGAACTCAGCCTAAATCTACAGGGTTTGTGTGTTAAACATTTGAATGAAACAAAACCCAACTCCAGGTCTGTTTGTGATGAGGAAACAATATTATAACATATATCAGGGCCCTTTAAGCTCCAGTCAGAATAAGAAGGGAGATACACAAATAACACAGTGTGAACAAACCAGTTTATTTCAGCTCCAATGTTACAAGTCCTTAATAAGAATAGTAATAATACAAAACCTGTCATCAAAGTATTCTTTGCAAACTTACTGCTTAAAAAGAAAGAGCATTTTCCATACATACATTGTTTTAGGTTACAAAATGAGCTCTAGATTTGACTATTCTAAACATGGAACGCCATTGCTGGTTTTCTGATGATGTCACAGCATTCTACAGGTCATATTTATAATCTAAGTACAATGTAATGAATAGGAAAAACTCAGGACTCTTGCCCCAACTGAGATTATAACATCATCACAATCGAAAATCTGAAAACATTCCCTGAAACTGAAAGCACTACTCTCGTTAGAAGCTCTGTAACTCAAGTAATAATTTTATCTGAGCTTTATTTTAACACAATTTGACCAGAAAGAACTGACTTGATTGGAACTGCACTTAAAATGACACTTTTCTTGAGTTTTCAGACAATCTTGAAACTTTTTGTTGTCTGTGTTCGCTAAAGTGTGCATTGTGTCACCATGGAAACTACTGAGCATTCCACCAATAGACATACATGAAGAACACCCCTTTGTCACCGCAAAGTGTCAACAGGGTTAGTGAGAAACATCGCCAAAATATGATGTCTTTTGAATGCGGAAAGGTTGTACAAAACAGGAAGGAATCATGTGAATGAAACCTATGGATAGAGACAACAGTGAACCCAATATGGGCAAATGTACAGCTGGATTTCTATAAGTCCACACTCATTTTAGTACAATACAATTCTGATCATGTGGTTTTGTATTCAGCAAGCATATAATAAAGAGGGGTTCTTCAGTGCAAAGAAAAATACAATTGTTTCTTTTAATACATTTTTTGAAATAGACTGGACCCACACATGTAAATATTAAACTGAAAAATGAAAACAAAAAATGAAAAGCCTAAAGCAACATAAGAATAAAGATACTGTTCCCCAAAATAAACTAACAAAACGTTATAAAATAAACAGTACAGTAATATGCAAATGGAAGGGACACACAATTCTGAGACATTTATCAAAACAAAGTAAACCTGTTAAAATAATTGAGGTTTTTTTACATGGAGTAGAATCATAATTGTAAATACAGTAGATATTTGTCAGCACAATCACAGTTTGGAGAAGTAGACAGGAGCGAGCAGAAACCTGTACTGCTAATGTAGTCCTGTTCAATCCTGCTTTAGACCTGGTTCAGACCTGGTTTAGACCTGGTTTAATCAGAGGATCTTGTATTTATTCAGTCTTGGTTTCGTATCAACTTGAAAATGTACTAGAACTAGTACTTGCTCTGAGAGGAAATGCCTTGGTTTAGTCCTGGTTTAGAACTGGTTTTAAAACCGGTTTAGTCCAGGTTAAGACCAGGTTTAGACCTGGTTTAGACCTAGTTTTAGAACTAGTTTAGTCCAGGTTTTAGACCAGGTTTAGTCCTGGTTTAGACCTGGTTTTAGTACTGGTTTAGTCCAGGTTCAGACCAGGTTTATTCTTGGTTTAGTCCTAGTGTAGACCTGTTTTAGACCTGGTTTAGTCCTAGTTTAGTCCTAGTTTAGACCTGGTTTAGACCTGGTTTAGACCTGGTTTTAGACCTGGTTTTAGACCTGGTTTTAGACCTGGTTTTAGACCTGGTTTTAGACCTGGTTTAGTCCAGGTTCAGACCAGGTTCAGACCAGGTTTAGTCCTGGTTTGGACCTGATTTTAGAACTGGTTTAGTCCAGGTTAAGACCAGGTTTAGATCTGGTTTAGTCCTGGTTTAGACCCGGTTTAGACCTGGTTTAGTCCTGGTTTAGACCTGGTTTCAACCCAGTTTAAACCTGATTAAATCTTGCTTTCTTAGGTTGTTTGAAACGGTACTTGCTCCTTTTTTGTCTACAAACCCGGTGACTGTGCAGACAATTGTACACGTATTTTGGCACTGGAAGTGTTTTTAGAAATAAATCTGTAAATATACAGAAACTTGCTTGGCACTGATAATATTTGCTCTAATAAACATTTCGTATACTGCTATATATGTCATGATTAACAAAAATATTTTCTGCATTTAAATTGGCACTAGATAACTTTACAAACTTAAGAATAAAATAATAAAAAGATCAGCACACCCCTATCCCGCCCCCTAATCTCATTTAGTTAGAACTATTATTAACAGCAGTTTAGGACTTTCAGAGCAACAATTTGAAGTTTGTGGATTGTGCAAAAATTACCTTAAATCTTGTATTTACAATAAATATTAATTGGCAAAAAAGTTTCTTGGCTGTACATTATGAAATTCTACTTTTCTCATGATCTAAAAAATTCTAAAAGTTAAATGTGCTTTAGTGAATGTGATTTCACATCAACTTCTAATGTAAGAGTTGCAAAAAAAAAAAATCCAATTCAGCAATCAACTCAAATAATATTTCAAAACTTGTTTTAAACACAATTTTAACCAGAAGGAGAAAAAGGAAAAAAAAAAAAAAAAGATGAATGAAAATATTAACACAATTTTAAGATTTCTTTTTCAAAATGTGAAACTTAACATTCAAATTTGTATATTTTTCTGATTTAATTACTTTACCAACTGTAGGTTTTCCAGCTCTTGGCAAGTTTTTGTATAGTAAAGTTAAGCCAATTATCAATGATTACATTTATTCTGGTTCTGCGAAATAATCTATGAACTATTTATCAGATTAGTTGCTGCAGCCATGATTGTAAATTAATTTAAAAAAAGAATTCCAAATGCGTTCTCTCTTTTCCATAAGGCGACAGAAAAACAGGGTACGGCATTTTGAAGGACTGTTTGAATATTCAGTGAGGTGTGGATATCTGCTTCTTTCACTACTTTGTTAACCACATGGCCAGTGGTTAAAGTGGTTAATACAACGGAGAAAACTTGTAAAAAAAAAAAGGTGCAGAGGCCACAGAATTTATCCGTACCATACCCACGCCGAACCAGGCCATACCGCGCCAAAACCTGACCACTCCGCTCAGTGTAAACCTATTGTCCGTTAACCGTCCATGTTGCCGTTCTCCTCCGGCTGCAGCTGCTCCTTCTCTGCACAGTCGTCCTGAGGGGGGCGCACTCGCTTAAAGAATCCCAACTGCAAAAGCAAAGACATTATTTATTCTTTATCTAATTCCTTATGGAAGTGAGTTGAGCCAAAATGGGTCTTGCTCCAATACAGATATAGTGTTCAAAATAAACTCGGCTCTGTTCTGTCAGCATCTAATTATAATGAGTTTTAACAACTAACAGGAAGTGCCTCTTAGCGTGCTAGTTCTATGTGAGTGTATTTTTATTCTCAGTCTATTTTAGCCTGTGTATGCTTTTGTTTGTAGTTAAAGGGCTCATCTCATGCAAAATAACTCTTTTCACATTGTATCTTCTGCACATAAACAAGCACAGTTTGGGTTTTGGAACATCCATTACACAATAGTTCTGAAATCTTGCTGATTTCTTGGAGGCAGTCACAGACCAGGAACTATGAAAGACCGACTATTGCTCATCCCCCCGCTTGTCCTGAGAAAGCACAGGCTCCGCCCTCCAAACGTGACGTAGACTTCCTCCGCCCATCTCAGGGAGGGAGGGGGAGACAGGTGTGCACCCTGACAGTGGTAGGAATAAACTTTTATTCATCATGGAGATACAGCGTGTTCAGCCGCATGTGCTGGACCCGGAATCGGACGAGGACTTGGAGGTGCACGAAGCTCAAGCACCGCGTCCACATCAGCTGAACATTACTGATTGGTAAAATATTAATAAATGCTAGTAGATAAACTTATTATATCATGTTCACTGCAGTGTAGAACAATGAGCTTATGCTGTCGCTTTTGTTTAGGTGTTCATGTGGAATTGTCAGCCGATGCGGGGGGGAGGCGGGAGGGCGGGTGCGAAGCGTTTTCTGCTACATCAAACGCATCATAGGTGTATCTGCTGCGTCATCGTTGTAGCAGCTTTAGTTCGTTGTCACGTGAGAGGGTGGCAGAAATACGTTGCAATTTGTTAAAAAAATGCTAAATCAATCTAAAAAACACTTCGGCGATATATACAAGGCCCACACATCACTCTTAGAAGGTAGAAAGCTATAAAAAGTTGATTTTGCATGAGATGGGCCCTTTAACTGTAGAAATGTCTTCAGAGGATTCGTTGTTTTGATGTTTTATGTCATGTATGAACTCATTAATATTCACCTTGTACATGATGAAGATGAGCAGAGCGAGGAGCAGGAGCCCGGCGAGCACAGCCAGAGCCACCACCCACCCGGGCACAGGCTGAGATGTGTCCGCCACCCACAGCACTGAGACGCTCACCTGAGGACACAGCACAAGGTTACACAAGGTTACACAAAACAAACTTTTGTCCAGTTGACCAATTGAAGTTTTTCTTTTGATATTTCGATTTTATTTCGTAGATGACATGTCGCCCACCTCTTACATGAACGTTTCACATTATGACATTATACATTTATAACATTGCTACAATAACATAATAGATGCTCAGTAATAGGGATGTAACAATAACCGAAATGATCATGATATCGTATCATCAAAGTTCTCACAATAATATCGTGGACCATCACAATATATCGAATTACAAGCCTCTGCTAAAATTAAGAGTCACAGTGCAGCAATAGTGAAAAAAAGACAGAGGGAACTACATAGACCATGATCCTTTGCTCCATTTCACTACAAGAAGAAATAACAGTTCTAAGCACTTTTAAATCTTAGTTCTTTGGATTAAGTCTTGTCAAGGCATTTTAAGAAGAAAAAGTTGCATATTAACAGTTTTATTAGCCTCCACAAAATATCACAATAAATATCGTACTGTGAGATGTATATCTTGAAAACATCTCATGAGATTTGGATATTGTTACATCCTTAATCATGAGCCTCCCCACCATAATCGTGAGCTTTCCCACGATATCGCAATAAATATCGTACTGTGAAATTCATACCGTGACGATATCGTATTGTGAGATTTGGATATCGTTACAACCCTACTCAGTTTTCATTTAAATGCAAGATAAATGCAATAAGGAATTTTCAGTCCTAAAATCCTCTGCAAAGATCTGCCACTTTGTCACCTGCTTGTCTTTATGGAGATAGAAATAGTGCACCAATAGTGGCAATAGTGCAACTTTCACTATTACAATTCCATAAAAGCTCCTGGGTTTGTCACAGTTTTCCATCGCCCTCTACTGGCAGCCAAGGGAATGAATCATAAAACCATGTAACTGAACACCATGCTCATGTATCCATGTGGATATATTATAAATTCATGTAGGTTTTTGATGTGTGTAAAGTGGTATGATTGATTCATGTCTTTGGTACATACAGTATGTTGAGGACTTACAGTGGTGCTGTTTGAAGGCAGCTCAAAGTCCAGTTTCTTGTATGGGATCTCTATGACGCTGAAGGATGCTTTGGACTGGATCACATAAGAGCGGTTCTGATTTTCCACCTAAAATAAATTATATAATAACAATAATAATAGTAAAAATACCACACAATCTTCTGTGTTTATCAGTAGTATTCAGACACTTACCCGGAGGAAGTTCTTTACATCCAGTCTTGAATAAACAAACAAAATGGCGTTCTTTCCTCTCTCTAGACGCCCAACTTGACATCTGAGAAACAGGCATTCAGATGTAGTGCAATCCTGGAGGAAAATCAAATATAACAGTGAGTCCTTTGCTCAATCTGATCCTCCATCTGGAAACTTTACCTCCAAATAGTCTAGCTCAGGGGGGTCAAACACACGGCCCGGGGACCGGATCCGTCCCTCCAAGACCTTTAATCTGGCCCTTGGCTGATTTTCTTCTAAAATATTTAAATTATATTTTCTATTTAAATATTGGTCATTTTCTGCGTCGCTTAGCAAAGCACACAGTTCTGTAATCATTTTAATGAGTCTTTCATCGGGACTTCATCACAGGCTTGGGCTTAATTACCACAAATACTGTTATATTATTATTATTACCAGAGTTTGTATGTCTCCCTGTGCATCTCTGGACTCCAGATCTCGTTTTCGCACGTGGTTTCGGTTTCGTCCCTCTGCCTCTCTTTCTCTGGGAGGAATTCCAGTCACATTTTTCTCTGGCGTCAATGGATTCTAAAAGAGACACATTAATAATTAAATCATGAAAAAGATATTTATAAATACACACATAATTACATAATTTAAGATTTAAAAATATGTTCCACTTTTCTGCAAAATTCCCCACAAATTACCATATTTTTCGGACTATAAGTTGCACTTTTTTTCATGGTTTGGGTGTTTCCTGCGACATACTCCAGTGCAATATATATTAAAATTTTCAGAGTGACAGCCACAAGAGGGCGCTCTAGGCTTGTGTATCAGTATCTATTACTCCTGTACCACTGTCGCTTCACATTCTACTGCACATGCCTCCTGTACAAAAAGCTGTTGTTCTGCTGCAAATAGTAAAATTTGCAGCTGAAAACAGTAATAAAGCAGCAAAGAGAAAGTTTAGAGTGAGCGAGAAATATGTGAGGCACTGGCGGAAAGCGGGGATGGAGAACACAGCTTCATGGCAACCGGGCAGGTGCACCATGCAACTTTCCTGGAAGTCATTGGATGAATCGACAAAGCCTGAACTTCAGTGACACCGAATTAATCCTGTTAGGATTCAGAAAGGCCAGAATAATTCTAACTGGAACTGATGCTGAGTCTGTCGACAGCTACACAGAAGAGGAAGCAGCGCTCTGTTTACATCATGGATCTATGGTTTATCTCCGGAGGTCGTGCAGAAGTGACACTGAGGATGAACAATTCAATGGATTTAGTGATTTGGAGTGAGATGGAGAGTTTGGTAAACTTATGTTCTGTTGTTTATGCTATAATTATCTGAATAACTCTTAATATGTTATGTTAACATATTAACGTCTATTCTGTCTGTTGTTCTCTGTTCTGTTGTTATTAGTATATCTTGCCTTTCAAGATGAAATGTCAGTTCCTGGTCTCTGATTTTATAAAATACATTTCCCCAAAAAGTACAACTTATAGTCTGGTGCGACATATATATGTTTTTTTTCTCCTTCATTATGCATTTTTTGGCTGGTGCGACTTATACTTCGGAGCGACTTATAGTCTGGAAAATACGGTATATCCTCTAGTATATTACAGTATTAGCTTTAGCCTTTTTCCTTTAAAGTGCCCATATTACACTGCTTTCTGATCTATGTTATAATGTTGTTTCATCATCAAAACAGACCTGGAGTTGTGTTTTGTTTCATTCACACATGTTTAACACACAAACCCTGCAGTTTTTCTTGCAAACAGAAAACACTTCACTGTTTCACCTTGTGATGTCATATGGTAATACAGGATGTGCTCCACTGCGTTTTTAAACTCCATGCACCTTCACTAGAATCATTTGAATAATTTCAGCCCTCAAATTGCCAATATCTGTTAGGTAGGTAACTGTTAACCTGAAAACTACCACAAGACATTGCAAAGCGCAAGGCATTTTGAGCTGTGGAGATGAAGACTATTAATGTAGATTACTTAAACAGGAACGTGAATGAAACAAAACACAACCCCAGGTGTGTTTTGAGGAGGTAACAACATTATAACAAGGTTTAAAGCTTACAAGAGTGCCCTATGTGTAATATATAACCTTTTAAGAGTTTGTGCCAATTTAAAACCTTTGTTAAACATAAAAATCATACACTTTTGTCATATGGTGATTACTGTTGGATAGTAAGTGTGTGTGTGTGTTTTTGATAAGAATACAAAAGTATAATGATCGAAACTTAAACCATTTCCCATATTTTAGGGCTTTTAGAATCATTTCAGTGTGCAGCCAGTGTGCAGCCATGCTACTGTCACAAAGCATTCCTGGTCCTCCTCACCGACACGTTGAGTGGGTTGATCTCTGTGTCCGTGGTGCAGTTGATGGGCCCCTCGGTGTCGAAGCTGGTGACGTAGAGCACAGAGCCGTTTTTGAAGTGAAACGGGACCTCCACCTTCAGAGAGGCTTTGGAGAAGGTGCTGGGACCACTGTTCAGCAACTGCACATAACACACAACAAGGAGAGAAGAGTCAGGTAAGGCTGAGCAATATGATAAAACTAGTAATTTATCACTTCCTCATATTCAACAATCTCAAATCTATTTATTTTGTTTGATTAAAAACAAATAAAAATGCCTAAGGGTTACATGTTGCAAACTCTAGTGGGAGTGACCTTGGGGGGAAACAAGCACAGATTATTAATGTTCATATTTTAATTTAGGGACAAAACAGCTAAATAAATACTCCAGGATCAAGTAGAGTGGGTTAATATGAACATTTCTCAGGCTCACTAAAGCAATTTCAAAGAGAAGGGCGATGTTTTCTCAATACAGGTCAATTGCAACCAGTCTGTGATCCATGTGTGAACCTGGCATCATCATTACCTCATAGACCAGGAGGATCTGAGGGCCGATGTCGTCCCCGACAACAGGAGGCTCTCTGGGTTTCCAGTTCGGGATGGGCAGCAGAACCTGGCCTGGATTTGAAGACCTGAAAATAACAATGATACAATTATTTATACCAGGGGTCATCAAACTAAGGCCCGCGGACTGACTCTGACCCTTCCACACCCCTTTGACCGGCCCCCAGCCCCTCTGCCCTCCAACACTTGAACTGGCCCTATGAGGCAATCCTCAAAAGTTGTCATGGCCTTTTTTTTTCTTTTTTTTATTACTTTTTGGCAAATAATAACACATCTGCATCTTGTATTTTGTTGATTTTTTTCAATTAAAAACGTTATATTTATATGAAGTACTTATATTTATATTTAAATAATTATATGACGTATTTACATTTGCTGCTGAATTATCGTCACCTGACAAACTCAAGATCAAACAGTGAGAGTCAATGTACACGCAGAGTACAGTAGTGCAGTTAAGGACAGCAAAATTGCAAGTGTTACAGTACAAAAAGTTGACAGTGCAGAGTTTTCAAAGAACAGTGGACAACCGATTATTTTTTGTTCAGTGTAATGACCGTGCAGTTTGTCTGATATGTAAAGAAAGTGTATCATTTTTTAAAGAATATAATCTGCATCATCAGGGTCATACAATTCTGTTATACAGCCAACTCGACCCTGGCCCCATCACAGTCAGGAGCCATAATGTGGCCCCCAGAGAAAAAAGTTTGGTGACCCCTGATTTATACAAAGTGCTTTACTGTAGTAAAGAGCTGTCGTTTCATTTTGGTTTTGTCATAATACGACTGCATTAGTTGAGGTGTAGTTCTTGGTTTAGTCCTGACATGGTCATCACGTTGAGTTGGGTCTTGCTTAGTCTACATTACTTCTAGTCCTGGATCAATCCTGGTTTACTTCTTGAAGTGTCCCATTTCTAGTTTATGCTGGAGTTTTGGTTGAGTCCTGGTTTATTCCCAGTCCAGTCCAAGGATAGTCATTATATATTTCCATGTTTATGTCTGTATTTAAATACAGTTTTATCTATTGTTTTAGCTCTTGCTTAGACCAATTTCATAATGTTTCGCTGTTATTCCCCATGTACTCACCCTCTGATGGCCACTTTAGCGAGCACGGCCAGTTTGGTGGTGCTGGATACTCGAGGGCTGGTGTTGTTGAACTGGTTTGAGCTAGAAAAAAAAACAACAATCTATTAAAAACACCATTAACAAGGCCACAGTTGTGTTTATGTGGGTGAGAGACACAGAGACAGAGGAGAGAGCGTGTGGCATGTTAAGGCATGTTAATTACAGGTTTGAGTTGCCTGTAGTTAAAATGTGACAGCTCAGCCTTTTCTTAACCACATCTTCACAGCACTAAGGCTGTTTCAAACACAATCAGTGTAATGGTAAACAGATTATTTTGGACAATATTTATCTTAAAAGGCACATATTACACAAAATTTAAAGTTCAGGTTAAAATGCTGTTATCTTCTCAAACACTTTCATGGTTCCACATTTTGATGTCATGAAGTGGTAGTTGTCAAGTTAACAGCTACTTTTTACCTTATAGCAAGAGTCCCCAACCCCTGGGTCGGGTACTGGGTCACGAAAGCTTGAACCCCCCCTCCCATAGCCCGCGTAGACCCCCCCATACACCGCGTGGACCACCTTAGAGGTTTAGACGGGCAGCACCTCTAAACCAGAACTAAACCAGGACTACACCAAGTCTAAGACAGATCTAAACCAGGTCTAAACCAGGACTAAACCAGGTTTAAACCAGGTCTAAACCAGATCTAAACCAGGTTTAAACCAGGTTTAAATGAGGATTAAACCAGGTCTAAACAAGGTTTAAACCAAGTCTAAAAACAGGTCTAAAACTAGGACTAAAACAGCATTTAACCAGAACTTAACCAGGACTTAATCAGGACTTAAATCAGGACTTAAATCAGGACTTAAATCAGACTTAAATCAGACTTAAATCAGGACTTAAATCAGGACTTAAATCAGGACTTAACCATGCTGTGGTCTATGAAATATAGTCGGATATAAAACGTGTCCGTGACACAAAAAAGTTTGGGGACCACTGCTTTAAAGGGCTCAAAAGGACTGAAATCATCCAAATTATTCTAGTGAAGTTGGATGGAGTTTAAAAACGCAGTGGAGCACTTCTTGTATTATGTGTATTTGTGATGAGGGAACAACATTATAACATTATAACACAGATCAGAAAACAGTGTATTGATAGTAGAAGGCAGAAATGTTTACTCTACAACTGTTCTATAGTTTCAGCTTTTCAATTCCAATTTCAATCCAATCTCAAACTCGTGCAGTCTTATCTGTTGTTGTGTCCTTGATCAAAACACTTCACCCACCCCCAACTAATAATAGTCTACTACTGTCATGCTTTGAGAAGCTCGTCAAACTTGTAGTATTAAAAAATATGATCTTAGCCATACTGTTAAATATATGGGTTCGCTTCCTTTGTGTTGCCCTTATTTATGTACGTTTTTGGTTGTTACAAAGATCATTAATTCCTGTGGTCAAAGTTGGGAGAATGGCATAGTTTTTTGGCCCATCTTAACTATAATTAGAGGCTACAGCTCCCTCATGTGGCTGTTTGGAGTAAAGCAAACACCATGATTGTAAGTGACACAGTGGCATAAGTGAGTTAAGTCCTGGTTCAGTCCCAGCTTAGTCCTGGTTTAATTTTAGTTAAGCAAAAGAAGAAACAGATCCACACTGCAGTTCTTTGGAGCTCCCAAATGTTGAATGTGCATGCCTTTATCTAACAGTATTAATTTTAGTTAAGGTTTGGTCCTGGTGTTGAGTAAAATTGTCCTTTGCCTTAGTTTGAGCTCAATCTTGACTGAAATATATATTTTTAACTGATATCTAGAAATAGTACATTTTCTTCGTGTGTTTTATTTTATTTTAATTTTTGAAAAGATATTTATAAACATACCTGACGACTTGTAGATCAAATTTGACCGATGTGTCCTCCTCTGAGAGCTGGTGAACACTAAAGCGCAACTCGGCCAAAACCTGCAGCAGCAAAAATCATGATAAATACAAAATGATACTGAGAAGAGGTTTAACTGAACAGAGGTAAAATGACTCGAGGATAAGGGTTCTTGTTTCATTTTGGATTGTCCTGATAACAATAATCACATCTTATCTTTGTAATCCATCGGACATGTGCTAAAACATGTCTGTAAATGTCTTTGTTGAGGTCTAAGTATTGCACACATGGCTGTAGAATGAAACGCCTAAATGCAGAATTATCACAAAATATTACCATTGATTATCAGTTTGATAATTATAGAAGCCATTTGAGGACCTTTGACCATTTTGACCAGTTACTACTAACAATTCCAATTTTCCTTCAAAAATAGGTCTTGACAGTGTCTCACATCCACAAAAACTCACTAAAAATACATTAGACATAACCACAGCTGTAATAATATAACAAGGAAGTCACCTTGGTTCCTCCTTTCATGGGGTTTCCCAGGTCACACACCACCATCTTGGTGTTGTTCTCCTTCTTATAGGCGCAGGAAAGTCTGGTCAGAGTCTAAGACAGCAAACATCAGTGTTAGATTTCACAGAAACCATATTGTATATTTCAGACTATAAGGGACACTGGATTATAAAGTGAAATATAAATAATGTTCGATAATTCTCTCGTCTATTTTCATACATAAGGCGCATTAAGTGAAACAAACAAACAACACTTGAGACTGATCCTTTAGCCCAGGTGTTCACGACCCATTGGCAGATCTTGGCGTAACTCACCCGGCGTTGCCTCCCTGTCTTGGTGAATGTGGATTATGAATGTGAATGTGGGTGGATCATTTAAGTTTGTTTTTTTAATTTCCTACAAGGAGGAATCAAATATACACTGAGTAATAATGTGTTTAATGCAGCTTTGCGCACATTTGTTTGTGTTTTACAGAAACAAAACTTAAAACCACATGGCTCATTTGCATAAACTATAAGTGCTGAAAAAAACACCTTGCTCCTTGTGCACTGATGCGGTTCAGCTTCTGTCGGACTAAAGGACACGACTCAGTGGAATATGAGTGTTCTTTCTGTGACAGAGAGATGTGCTGCTGATGGTGAGTCTGTTCTGTTCTGCTATCACATTGGAGATTGTTCATGTGAAATGTTTCAGAGATTATACGTCTGCAGGTCATATGCATAGACCGTATATATGAATGGATATATATTCTCTGTAGCATTTCATTGATGTCATAAATACTGACGCAGCACTATACTTCGCTCTTTCCTTCGCAAGGTTCCAGACTACGGTAAGTGTAATGCTCTGACAATCCAAGCAGTGTGGGTTTGTAGTTTACCAAAGTCGTACAAAAAGATTTTGACATATTTTTGAGCACCGTGTACCACATAAAATCAGCTCGAGGTCAGTAGGCACCACCAGAAATAATACTTAATAATTAATTAAGTGCACTGGATTATAAGGCACACTGTTAATTTTTGAGAACATTAAAGGATTTTAAATGCGCCTTATAGTCTGAAAAATCCAGTGCATAGCACATGAATATAAGACATAATATGGCATAATGATGACATAATATGCTGCGTGTGTTCTCAGTTAAATGCATTGAATGAAAAAAATCAATCACAGAATATTAAATCTACCCTCCTGACCCCATAAACTGTAAGGGGGGCATTAGGGCATTGTACTGTGTGTATTGTAGAGAGGGGCACCTGGCTGCGGACGACCCCAGTGAAGTCTGCCTGATGTGGGGGAAACACGTGCAGCTCGGCCTCGTACGCTCCCTCGCCCTGGTTCTCTGCGCTCACTTTTAACGTCAGAGCATTGTCGTCACCAATGTAGATCTGCTGAGGCTCACTGCACGAAGATACAGAAAACAATTACACATTTACACAGAGCTGAACATGTGAAAAAAAAATCCAAGGAAATTATAGCAATTTTAATATATTCAAATTGGGAATATATGGTCCAAAACAGCTTCTTAAACTGTAGTACATGTGGTAGTTTGGACCATTTGTATTTTGAGTATTTGTTTCATTTAGAGACAAATACATTCATGTTTTTGTCCTTTGGGTTAACCATTATTTATTCATAGTTTAATCTTGTTTTAGACCTTGTTTAGCCCTTATTTTTTCCTGATATTAAGGTTTTGCGTCTACGTCACGAAACCACGTGACCTGGTGTTTATGCCGCCATACTGGAGGTCAAACTATCCATCTGGACCAACGTGTAGTATTTGTGTGCGATAAAATTTGAATTGAATAACAATGGTTTTGACCTGTGCTGCTATTGGATGTTCTGTCATTCAATCAATGTGCTAAAGAAGGAGGCCAAAGTATTTTTTTTATCGGATCCTGGCTGATAAAGATCGCAGACAGAGGTGGAGAGCGGACATAAAAAGAGAGGGATGGAGCCCACTGAGTACAATCGTCTGTGCAGTCAACATTTTATTTCTGGTGAGGGACCATCTCCACACAAACAAAGAAGGGATTTACACTAAACGAAATGATATACCAAAAGTATTTTTCTCGTCGGTGTACCTGTGTGGTATAGGATTTTGACCCCGCGGTGAGGTGAGCCCGGGGTCAACATACCATACAGTGTTTTGACTCCGGGGTCAGAATCCTATTATGGTATGTTGACCCTACCTATAAAATATTGACCCCCCTATGAAAACCTATATTTTATTAATAAAGAACTTGAATTCTATAGAAAAAAAATAATATTAATACTATATCTGCAAATTAAAACATATTGACATACTTAAGTGTTTTTTGAAGAACTCAGATGCATTTTTTATGTCGATTATAACTTTTGAATGTTAAAAATTACTTAGTTGTTTAAACATATTTTACTGAAAATGAGATAAGTAGTTATTAATTAATTAGGTAATCAAAGTGATGTATAATGATTTGGAATCTTGTTAAAATAGACATGGACGATCAATTGAGTAGTTAAATCGAGGATACCTATGACTATAGTAATCTGACCCCCCAATATGTTTATTATAGTTATGATGATGTAAAGTAAGAAGTAATGTTAGGTGAATATTGACAATGAACTATTATATATTGTAACAGTCCCAAATATTTATATATATAATTTCGCGTTTGTCTTTATATTTTACTTTGCGCCATCTAGTGGTCAATCACAATGTGGAACAAAGTATAATAGAAAGTTCCGCCCGAACCTAATTAACTGCGCACCTGCTGTCAACACATTGCCGCGGACATGTGAATATCTCCGGTAAGATGAGAATAAGTCAGATAAAATGTTATGGGAATAACAATGCAAACACTTGTTTATTGGTTTTATTTAGTATATAGCGAAGGGATTTGAAGCAAGATTAACAATTAGCCCCCTCGTGGATGTCAGCCCACAAGGTTTGTGTGCTTTATTATTATATTGTATTATATTGTAAGGTGCAGAGTTAATTTTGATGTTTTATTTATTGTTTTCTTTGCTGCCAGTTCTCACGGGTTGAAGAGTGAATAAACCCTGTTAAAAAACCTCGTGCTCATGCTCATTCCTTGAGGGGTGCTACATATATAAAAAAGGTCAAAATCCTATGACTATAGTAATCTGACCCCCCAATATGTTTATTATAACACAATATTACTAAATTCAAGGTCATTATCGTTACAAATCATTGCCTAAATTGACATCATGATTAAGGATTATCTGAACACAGCAAACTAAAAACCATAACAATGTAAAATACAATATAAAAAATACAATATATAAAGTGATCAGATTGATATGTATATGCACTTTTAACAATACGTTACATTTACACAAAATACCAAGTTATTATCCATTAAAATATTCCTTAAAATATCGTAAAAGAAAGTGAATAAGTAGCAATATATAATCAAAGTAAATGACATGAGAAATAATCATCATATAAGTAACTATTATAGAAAAAAGTAAGGGGAGTCAAAATCCTATAGGGGGTCACTTTATTATCGCGGTATGTTGACCCCAGGGTCAATATACAAGGGGGGTCAAAATACTATCTCACACCAGCACGGAACCTAACCTAATCTAACCCCGTGTAGCTTTTCAGTTCTTGGTTGGTGTAAGACGATATCGAATGAAGTAGTTGTAAATATCTGGATCCTAAAGGTTGGGCACAGAATGAGAGTTGATTAGACAAAGCGCTCCAACGGGATTGGATCGGGATCTACTCCACAACCCAGGAGGACGACATTAGCTTTATGCCTTTCTAATGACAGCTGACCTAACGAGCTGGACATTTCAGACAGTTTTATGTTGTTTGCACTGTTTAAAGTTGCCATGATTATATTTGAATAAACGGAATACTCCCAGTCTTGACCTCCAGTACGGCCGCCAAAACATTAAATCACGTAACTGCCACGTCACACGCAAATCTTTAATAGTCCAGGTTTAGATCTGGTGATACTTGGAAAGCCAAATATCATCTTAGGTGTTACTGATCTAAAACATTATCTACTGTAACAAAGGACCAGGACTAAAACTAAGCCAGTTCTTCCTGATCTGCTCTGCCTTATCAGCCTGTATGCTCTCTACTGTACCTCGTGACGGAGAGTTTGAGGTCCGGTTTGCAGATGTTGTCGTCTCCACAGTCCAGCAGGATATGAGCCTGAGGGCACAGGAAGAAGAAAGCTTTAAAATGAGGCCCAAAACTCACCAGGAAACTACAAAACTACTTCACTGCATCTATAAATATACTCTTTGGTCCTCCTCTGTACCTTCTCTACCATATGCTCACTGCCATTCATTGTATTGTAAAGTTTACTGTATTGGTCATGATATTTCCTGCTGGCGGGAGCAGTACCTGTTTGGTGATGTTAGAGGCCGCCGACATGTCCACGATGGGCAGGAGTCCGGTCGAGTCTGCGGCGCTACTGTAGTCCAGGGAATACTCCATCGTCACGGAGATCGGAGTGATCTTATCCCGGAACTCACGGTCATCCTGAGGGCAGAGGAGGAGGGTTCAGACCAGGACTAGACCAGGACTAAGACAGGACTAAAACAGGACCAAACCAGGGCTAAATCAGGAACAAGACAGGAATAATCCAGGGCTAAATCAAGAATAAACCAGAACTAAAGCAGGACTAAACTAGACCAGGAGTAAACCAGGACTAAAACAGGACTAAGCCAGAACCAGATAAGAACCAGGACAAAACTAGGTCAGAAAGCCAGGACTAAAATCAGGACAACAGATAACACCAGCAATAGGCCTAAACTAGACAGGAATTGGACCAGGACTAAACTAGGACTAAACCAGAACCAATCCAGGACCAAACCAGGACCAATCCAGGACCAATCCAGGACCAATCCAGGACCAATCCAGGAAAGCCAGGACCAATCCAGGACCAATCCAGGGCTAAGCCAGGACCAATCCAGGACCAATCCAGGGCTAAGCCAGGACCAAACCGGGGCTAAACCAAGAATAAACCAGGACTAAGCCTAGACTAAACTAAACCAGGCATAGATCAGGAGTAACCCAGGAGTAAACTCAGACAGGACTAAGCCAAGACCAGCCCAGAACGAGGTCAGAAAGCCAGAACTAAATCAGGACAAAACCAAGACAACACCAGGAATAGGCCTAAACTAGACAGGAACTGGACCAGGACCAAATCAGGGCCAAATCAGGGTTAAATCAGGGCTAAATCAGGGCTAAACCAGGGCTAAACCAGAACTAAGGCTAGACTAAACTAGACCAGGACTAGACCAGAACTAGACCAGGACTAGATCAGGAGTAAACCAGGACTAAGACAGAACTAAGCCAGGACCAGGCCAGAACAAGGCCAGGTAGCCAGGACTAAATCAAGACAACATTAAGGACTAAACTAAACCAGGATTAAACCAGGACCAAGCCAGGACCAAGCAAGAACAAGCCCACAGCTAAACAAGGGCTAAACCAGGAATAACCCAGGGCTAAACCTAGACTAAACTAGACCAGAACGAGACCAGGACTAAACTAAACCAGGACTAGGTCAGGAGTAAGACAGGACTAAGCCAGGACCAGGCCAGAACTAGGCCAGGAAGCCAGGACTAAATCAGGACAAGACCAAAACACCACCAGGAATAGGCTTAAACTAGACAGGAACTGAACCAGGACTAAACCAGGACCAAACCAGGTCTTGACCAAGGCAAAACCAAGACTAGACCAGGGCTGTACACCAGTACTGTCACTGAACAAAAACTGCAACTAGTACTGAGGGAGGGAGACAGGATAACATATAAATATACAAATACAATCAGTACATTATATTGTACTTACTCTGAGGAATACCACCAGTTCTTCGCAGCTTAGTGGTAGTTTTTCGTTATTTGTAACAGGAATATTTCTTGAATATTGATACGATTTGTTGTGCAGGAACAGAACACGTTTTGTAGCTTCTTTCTGTTTCAAACGGTCCAACGTGATGTCCACCTTAAAGGCTGTGGTTAAGTAAAAAAAAAAAAAAGTTAGAAAAAAATTGAATGTTAAAGTGTACAGAAAAATAATTCCACATACTTAGCGATGGTGGAGCTCCGATGCCCCTGGCCTTAAGACAGTACTTCACTTTGAAACTGGAAAAACAAAGAGACAATTGGATTTAGATTTTTTTTCTGTAACAAAAATAAAGCAATTTAATTTTAACCTTCGTTGTAAATCAGTAAAAGTTGAAAATGTCATGCTCATTTTGCTGACTTAAAGAGACCATCTGTAATTGGATTGGCCGACCCTCCCCTGTTGTATTCTCACACATCACCACTAGTTTCTTGGCCTGACAAAAGAGCCGAGAGCAGAGGTGACCCTGAGCAAAGGTCAGGTGAGACAGGGACAGAATGGTTTAATGACTTATGGATGGTAGCTTTAATCCATAAAAGTTTTAATCAACCAGGAAACATATATGTTTTTATTTATGATAAATTATATTACATGTACAGATGTGTTCCTGGGCGTTGAGTTTGTTTATGGTCTGGTTTGGGGCTTTGGATTTAAAAGTGGAAGTTGGATCTAGTCTCCACTCATCCTTTTCTTTCATTTGTGTTTAGTTTTTAATTACTACAAAAATATCAGTACTTTTTGTCACAATTTTGATAAATTTGCATTGATTTTGTCCAGTCTTGGAAATAATCAGGGGATAAATGTACTGTAAGTTCGATTCTATTAACGCCAGAGGACCACTGGAATTAAGGGGAAAACAATATGTCACACTTGCATCTATATTGTAATTTGAGTTCACAATAATTGATTCTAACAATACCAGATTTTCCGCATTATAGGGCGCACTTAAAAGCCTTTAATTTCATCAAAAAACGACTGTGCTCCTTATAATCCAAAGCACCTTATATATGAATTTATTGGGGTGTCTTAGTACGACTTTAGTAAACCACAAAGCCGCACTTGCAGCATTACGGCTCCCGTAGTCAGGATTGAAGAATTTGAGGGATTTGTGGATGAGGAATGAACTGAAAAAAGTGAGTGTAATGTGTTATTTTTAGTTATAACTGAACAATTATGAGTTATTGTGAATACACTAACAATTTAGCGCTCTCAGACAGTATTTTTTTTTTACACATTACAATTGAACAAAGTTGAGAGTTATTGTGAGTGCATTAAATAAAGTTTGACTGACTTATCTAACTGTTGTTTTTCGTTTAATGCGCCTTATAGTCCAGTGCGGTTTATATGTGAAAAAATGTTCAAAATTGACCATTCAATGACAGTGCAGAGCGCCCTATAGTGCGCAAAATATGGTAATTATTATTTAGACGACAGAATACTGTGCGTAGAACAAAATGTCCTGTCCTTTTATAGAAAAACCCTGTTGTGCTTGTGGTTTAGCCCTCTACAAACATGTTCTGAATTCATGGGATTCTTGCATTAGTTCTTCAGGTCCTATTTCAGTCTTCTCTCATAAGTAATGAACTGCACAGCCCCAGTGTATATTCAGAGTGACTCTCGTGCTCTGGCCTCACCAGGACACAGACGTGCCGGTGTCTGGGATCACACAGGTCTTCTCCTCCGGGTTTATGATCTGTGGATTCAGGTCCAAGGTGCCGTTCACACTGATCACTGGACGAGCTCTGCAACAGAAGAATGTGCAAGATTAACCGTTAAATATACACAAGACTAACACAAAGATCAGCCATAACAATACAACCACTGATTATAGTCCTGGTTTAGTCCTGGTTTAGTCCTGGTTTAGTCCTGGTTTAGTCCTGGTTTAGTCCTGGTTTAGTCCTGGTTTAGTCCAGGGTTAGTCCAGGTTTAGTCCTGGTTTAGTCCTGGTTTAGTCCTGGTTTGGTCCTGGTTTGGTCCTGGTTTAGTCCTGGTTTAGTCCTGGTTTAGTCCTGGTTTAATCCTGGTTAGTCCTGGGTTAGTCCTGGGTTTAGTCCAGGTTAGTCCAGGGTTAGTCCTGGTTTAGTCCTGGTTTAGTCCTGTTTAGTCCTGGTTTGGTCCTGGTTTGGTTTAGTCCTGGTTTAGTCCTGGTTTAGTCTTGGTTTAGTCCTGGTTTAATCCTGGGTTAGTCCTGGGTTAGTCCTGGGTTAGTCCAGGGTTAGTCCAGGGTTAGTCCAGGGTTAGTCCAGGGTTAGTTCTTGTTTAGTCCTGGTTTAGTCCTGGTTTAGTCCTGTTTAGAGTTAGTTAAATTACATCTGGGCTAGTCACGGTTTAATCCTGGTTTAAATCTTGGTCGGTCCTGATTTGATTTAGGTTTAGTCCTGGTTTAGTCTGGCTTGTGGTTTTTTTGTTGTTGTTGTTACCTTTAATATTGAGACAGGAGCAGCACCTTAACATTTCTGTGCATGCTTATAATTTTCACTCTAATGAATTTGTTTGTACATTTTTTAAATTTATTTTGAGCCTCATCAAATACTTTTAAACATAATAATAATATCCATCTATTTCAGTAGTGAATGGGTTAAGTGTGTCCTGAACATGGTCTATATAAAGTCAGTGTGATAAAAACATATTAAACATACAGGCCTTTGAAACCAGGGTGGCCTTCTCATTAAACTACTGCTTATTTAGGCAACTTCAGCAGCACCCAGCCATGCACAGTAGGGGGCGCTACACACACACACACACACACACAGACACAAACACACACACACTTTTGATTACCTGTATAAAACTGCTTTGTCTGCTCCAAAAACTCCAACTATTAAATCTGTAAAAAGAAAAAAGTCAAAGTTAGCCTCCTGCTGAGATACTGCAGCTTGTAATGTTTCAATGTAGAGCAATATAGAATATCTGAGCCACATTTAGAGAGGGGAGAGGGGTAGTGGATCTTGGGATGATTTTTGTGATGTAGTTATTTAAAAGGAGACACGGTATTATGCAAAAATGACTACCTTCTCATTTTCTCGCTTAAAGCTGTATTTAGAATGATTCATGCATTTTTTATCTTTGAGTCCCACTTTGTCCTACTTTTATACCCACCACTTTTTATTTCTTGATTTAAATTTCCATATCCATTAGTACCAACCATACTATTCAATCTATAGGTTTATTTACCTGGGTATCCGTTCCCGTCGATGTCTGTGTTTCCGGACATGGAGTATCCAAAACTTGCAGGCATGTAACTGGACGCCCATTTACCCTGAAGGACCTGAGCGCACAATCACAACTATATCAGGATTTTTACTCTTTTATGGCAGGAGACAGTCTGACAGTCTGCGGTGTTTCACCTGGGAGGGGGAGGAGTCAGGCCCTCGGGAGCGGCCGTTGTGGATGTAGACGAGTCCAGTGTGGTCAGGGCCGCCGTACGGAGCAGAGATCGCCACATCTGTGGAAATACAATATCAAATACATCCAAATGAACATGTATGAATCAAAATGTCAACAGTTGTCCTGAAGTTGGATTGAGGAGGTCGGTCTCTGGCTTTGATCACACTGAGGATCTGACTCGATGACATGATCATGAAGCTTTGTTTGTTTATGTATCGTGCTGACATAATAATACTCAGAGTGGAAGGAAATATTACCTGTTACTTTGTTTTTGGTACTAATAACAGTAATTTTATGGTACCCATTTCTGTATTAATTATTATACAATAATTATTGTATAAAATGACAAAACAGAATCATAATTCACATATCCACAATCCACATTAAACACAACTTCTCTGAGTAAAATCTGTGCTTATTCATTTGAAGTGAGTCTTGGAAAATATATAAAATGGACCGACCAGACTTAAAACTTGTTAAAAAAAAAAAGGACAGTCCCCTGCCCTTATTGTCTGATTATTTTCCCCCATTGTTCATGAGACATGCACATCTTTATTTAAATTAGGGTGGATTGGAAACTTGTCTTATCAGTTAGGTAGCTCACCAGATAACCAGAGCTGAAAGTAGTTTTATTTATTTATTTATTTTTTTGGCTAGGACAATTACATTTTTGTTTACATCCATTATATATATTATGTTCAAATCAGGGTCAAGCGGACTAATCCATTCTAATGTGAAAGGGGGTTACTTTGATAGTTAAAATAGATTTGACAATCAGATACTATTTTGATGGTGTTTTCTTGTTTAAAATTAAACTACTCTCACTTAATGTCATATTGAGAGAAACTCAAATTGCTCTGAGGCCATCAGTGGCACTTAGTTGGGAAACCCTCCAGGTTCAGGGGCACTAAGCAGCCGCCTAGTGTTGCCTAATGGTGTGAATGTGTGAATGTGACTGACCGTTGAAGCCGTCTTTGTCCAAGTCTCCCAGAGCAGCGATGGAGGAGCCGTACCGAGCGTAGACCTCTGACCCTGTGAGCTGCTGTGGAGGGTGGAATGAAAAGCCCCCGCTGCCCAAAAACACAGTTACCTGAGGGAAAGATAGAAGGAATAAGTGTGGAAATGAATGAGGATTTTATTAGGCCTGTCACAATAAGTAAGAGATTCTTATAATGATTAACCACTTTGACTCAGTCTTTATTACATTAACATCAGTTTTTTTTATTTGAGTTTTTTTTGCTGAGAAGGAGGCTCAAAAAACGGGGTCGGTCTGGGCCAGTTCTACATCTGCATGTTTCTACATCTGCGTGTTTCTACATCTGCGTGTTTCATGTGAAAGTTGGTTAATCTGTCTGCTATTGGCCTCTGGCTCTTGTACTGTTTTCTAACTTTCCACTGGTTAAATCAAAATTTTGTTAATCCCTGCGAGGCGACTGCTGCTGTGTGTCCACTGATATGAAGGTTGTATAAAACATCACTGGGAGAACAGTCTGATCCACTGACCCACAGGCTGACAGTGAGATTCCAGCTCCCACAGATGAATAATGTTGTTGTTTCCCTGGGCGAGACACTTAACCCACCACACCCCAAGTGTGTGTGTACTGCTGTATGAGTGTGTGTGTGTGTGTGTAAAGGGCACTGAGTGGAAAATGCTACATTTAACTGGGATAATCAATTTTCTAGCAATGTGTTACTTTTAAATTTGGACAGGCTTATTTGTATGATCATGTTGATCACGTTGGGCTGGATAGTGCGTACAGACCACAACCTGTGTGTTCAGTTGTGTTGACTGTATATTGACTGGTAACACAACTGCATAAATCTGGGTTTGTATGAAAGCAGCCACCCTGCCCTATGAGCCATCTCAGATATGGCTAAGAAGAAATTATAAAAAAAAATTCTAAAATTACCAAATGAAAGAATCTAAAATTTTAGCTCAATCCCTTGAGTCGTTCCCGAGTTATGGCCCGTTGAAATTTTGGGGCCATGCTCACTTTTTCTGAAGCCTTAATTTATACGCATGTTTGAGAGACTAGAACTTTATATATATATATAAATAATAATAGAGCTAAGGAAGCTGAAAATGTGTGTTATTATAGATTCTTGGTCATAGATTCTGAATCTGTTGTCAAATATGGGGTATCTTTTTTAAGGGGGGCCCCCAAAATCTCACATTTGGTTGCCGCTCAATTTCGTTTTCAATTTTTGAGGTCCAAGATCTATTTACTCTAAGCAGATATTTACAAACTAACTACTGAACCTGAATATTTGAGAGAATGACCATTTCTGACAACAATCTCACACTTTTCCGAGCTTTCATGTGGATGGTGTAGAGTCCCAAATATGGTCACAGACCAAATGTGACCTTTTTGGTTCCTTCTTTGGACCTATGGGTCCCCCATAGTTAGATGTTGAGATATATATATATATATATATTTTTTATTTTTTTTTGAAAGGTTCAATTAAACCTTAAGCCTTAAACACTAATTGCTTGTTATAAGGGAAGACAGTTGGAGATTATTTGTGGCCATAACTCAAGAAAGACTGAAGATTGAGCAAAAATTTAGAATTAGAATATTTCCATTTCCATTTTTTTTTAAGATAAAGCAGAAGAAAATGGAAAATGTTTAGAAATTTTTTCAGCCAAATCTGAGATGGCTCATAGGGGAGATTCCTTGAAAACGGCTGATTTCATATGCATCTTATAATGTGTAAAACTCACCTGTCCAACCTCCCTCAGCTTCCCATCCGAGCCTCGGTCCATGAAAAGAGGAGCTCCAATGAAAAGATCCACCAACCTGCAACAAAAACCCAAGGATATCAACTCTACACCAAACTTATCTGTCCAAACAAAATGTATTTTATTTCAATTTCTTATTACAACTTAAATGGCCCATATTAGGCTATTTTCTGATTTCGGTTCTAATGTTATTTCCTCCTCACAAACAGACCTGGAGTTGTGTTTTGTTTCATTCACTTTTAACACCCAAACCCTGTATTACATATTTAGAACTTAGTTCTTCTCTCAAACCAAAAAACTCTGTTCTACCTTGTGATGTCATGTGGTTATGTAGGAAGCGCTCCACTGTGTTTTTAAACTCCATAGACATTCACTAGAATCACTGGGATAATTTCAGGTCTGGAACTGCCAATCTCTACTGAATTAAAGACATAGACTAATAACTCAGGATTCCTAAAACATGTGTGAATGAAACAAAACACAACTCCAGGTCTGTTTTTTAAGAGGTAACAACATTGTAACATGACTTAAAGCTCTCAAGAGTTAATTTTGTGTTATATAGGACCTTTCAAACTACAGCCAAACTATGATTTTGGAGTCTTACCCGTCTCCATTAATATCAGTAGCAGCTACGGAGTGTCCAAAATAGGCCGCCATCTGTGAATAAAAAAACGGGATACCAAAATATAAGAGAAATACTACTACTATTAAAAATCTTTGTCAAAAAGGTGTCGCGTTCTCTCACCTGTGTCCCTGTAAAGTTCTTCACTGACTCCATGTTTTGGCCATTGAAGATGTTCACCTGAAATCAGCCAACATCAGTTAATACATTATTCCATTATAATGCATTATTTTATTTCATAGAAGAAAAATACAAAAAAAAAAAAAGAAAAGGCAAAGAGAGGGGACAATAAAACGAGTGTAGCTGGTATGACTAGATTAAAGGTTTGGGAGATTGTTGAATATGTCCATTTTCAGTATGAATTTTTAATACGTCTGCAAAGTTTTTTTTATTATATTAATGTTTACTTCTAATAGACGCCAAGAAGAAGTGTTTTTAGTGGCTTAATTTGAAAGTTTATAGTTGTTTAGTCCAGTGTTTCCCAAACTTTTTTTCTGGGGTCTCATATTTTAAAAGTCACAAACTATCGTGGCCCAAGTCAATAGACACTATTCATAAATTACCAAACAAAGCTGCATTGGACCATTATTGAACATTAATGAGGATATTTTATTGTTGACTGAGTGATTGTGTCTCTCAATTAATATCACTCAAGTTTTAAACAATGAAAAACAGTCATTGAAGCAGCAATAAAAGGATCCAGATGTCTCTTTGGACATTAAATGCAGCCCATTTCTTTTTCTTTAATTCAATTGAACCAGCAATATTGGAACAAAATAGTCAAAAAAATGATTACAAAAAGATTAGAAATTATACAAAACATGTCTTAACATTTCAACATTTCTAATGAGCTAGTTGGGCCAGTCTGTGTTTTTGTAGCATGTTCCAGTCCGGGTGCAGGAGGAGAGCGCAGCAGCAGATCAGACACAACATTCAGTGTGTTTCTGTGCTTTGTCTCCATTTTTGTGAGCACAGAAAGTGCCAATTCACACATATATGCAGTAGAGAAAGGAATAAGCATAGAAATACTGGCCCTACTGAGGACAGGATATTCTGGCGAAATGCTTATCCACAATGACAGTAAGGTCACAGATCCATGTATGCCAGTTGGATCCATGGATCCAACTGTATATCACAGACCTACATGCATATCGTGCCAAGGCGACTCCAAAAAAGTCTCTTGCGACCCACCTGAGGGTCAGGATCTAGTCTTTGGGAAACAATGGTTTAGGAAACAGAACGGCCTTTACAGAAAAGTAAATGTCCCTGTGCCTCTGTGGGGTCTCATTCTGTATAAATCCCTGTAGTTTAGACCTCGACAAACTGAAATGTCCCTGTGTGTCAGGTGCCTTCCGTGTCTCTCTGTGTTCTGAATGTAGATTTCTTGTATGTATTATTAAGGATATTAGTCATATACGTACATAGCCCAGTGCTTTGTCTCCTCGTGGTACACCAGTGACATAATCTGTTCACAAGAGAAAGCACAGTTAAACACAGACAAACTTTACTGTTGTATTGAAAAATAAACTGTATGTTAACATCAGTAGAGTGTACACATTCACAGAATACTACTCCTACACTACTCACCGTCTTGTCCATCATCATTGAAGTCTGCCACAGTCACAGAGTAACCTAGCAACAAAGAAAGAGTAAACAAAACAAGAGGTGGTAAATACTATGCAATTAACCCAAACCCAAAACAGAGCTAAACCTGACCTAATCCTTTACTGTATAAAGAAGTGGACTAAGGGAGTGTGACGTCACCCACAGCGCTCAGCTTCAGTCAAATGAAGCGCCGAGACTAGAGGTTATAGGGACGATTTTGGAGACACGTTCCATATTAGGAATAGGTCAAAAGTTTTAGAACACCCTCATTTTTCCAGTTATTTATTGCTGTTCAAGTTGTGCAAGTCCAATGAAGAGCGTGAAATGGTACCAAGGTAAAAACTGAACAGACAAAGGTTAAAAAAAAGATAAAAGATACAAAACACAAGTCCAAGCTCTGCCAAAACTACCTCAGGAAAAAAGAACAAGATGGTGAGTTTGAAAACATGACTCCAGACTCCAGACTTAAACCCCATGGAGCTGGTTTGGGATGAACTGGACAGAAGAGTGAAGCAACCTACAAGTGCCACACATTTATGGAAACTTCTGCAACAGACTTGGGAAGAACTTTCTGAACAATATTTGATTTCTATTGTAAAAAGAACGAGCCACGAGTGTGTTCAGCTGTTCAGGTGTGCACTTTCATCAATCAAAAGCTTAGAATATATTTTGGTCAACAGTAAACAGTAAAAAACTGGAAAAAGTGTGGTGTTCTAAAACTTTTGACTGGTAGTGTACATACATACATACACAGTCTATGCTGACACAGGACTAAACCTGGGGTAAAACCAGGATGAAAATAGAACCAAAACAGGACTAAACCATGACTAAGCCACCACAGATCCACTGAAAAACCAAGACTAAGCCTTGACTTAAAAAAAGAGACAGTGACAGGACAAGACAGGACACAAACAGGACAAAAACCAAGACTAAACCAGGACTAAACCACAAGGGCGTAGATTTGCATAGGGACGGTGACAACATGTCACAACCAATATTTGGGGAAGACAAAACAGTCCCTACCAATATTTACCATTTTATAATAATAAACAAAAATATACATTTATTCTGATATTTTTCCAAATTCAGTAGTATTAGTTTAATATGTTGTTCGTTCAAATTCTGTTTATTAGACGTTCTGAGATGTATTCAGTGATATGATGACAGGGTTACACCTGCCGCTATTTCCTTGGCTGCAACAGAGTGATGTCATTAGTGGAGCCAGGAGCCTAAACTGGGGAAGCGGCAGGACAGGGCCGCACCTGAAGACGGTGGCTTGAGCAGGCGTGAGTGAAGACGCTGCACCAAACTTTGAAAAACTTTTCAAAAGGAACTTACCGTATTTTTCGGACTACAAGTGGCACTTTTTTCATGGTTTGGGTGTTTCCTGTGACTTATACTCCAGTGCGACTTATATATTAAAATTTTCAGACAGACAGCCGCTAGATGCTCTAGTCTTGTGAGTCAGTATCTAGTACTATTTTTACTCCTGTACCACGGTTACTTCACACTCTACTGCATATGCCTCTTGTAGAAAGAGCCACTGTCTCACTGCAAATAGTGAAATATGCAGGCGAAAACAGTAATTGAGCAGCAGAAAGAAAGTTTGGAGTGAGCCAGAAACTTGTGAGGCACTGGCGGAAAGCGGAGATGGAGAACACAGCTTCATGGCAACCGAGAGGGTCTGCAGTGTAACTTTCCTCTAAGTCACTGGATGAATCGACAAAGCCTGAACTTCAGTGACACTGAAACCATCCTGTTGGGGATTCAGAAAGACCAGAATAATTCTAACTGGAACTGATGCAGAGTCTGACGACAGCGACACAGAAGAGGAAGCAGTGCTCTGTTTACCTCATGGATCTGTGGTTTATCTGTGGAGGTCGCGCAGAAGTGACACCGAGGATGAAGAATTGAATGGATTTAGTGATTTGGAGTGAGATTGTGAGTTTGGTAAACTTATGTTATGTTGTTTATACTATAATTATCTGAATAACTCTTAATATGTTATGTTAACATATTAATGTCTATTCAGTCTGTTGTTCTCTGTTCTATTGTTATTACTAGAGCTTGACTTTCAAGATGAAATGTCGGTTCCTGGTCTTTAATTTTACAAAATACATTTCCCCAAAAAATGCGACTTATATATGTTTTTTTTCCTTCATTGCGCATTTTTTGGCTGGTGCAGCTTATACTCCAGAGCGACTTATAGTCCAGAAAATACGGTATTTGACTTCATCTTCAATTAAACTTGCCTTTTGGACCTGCCCAGACTCTGTGTTTTTGGAACAAATTGATAAAACTTATATGCAACTTCTTATCCTATTTGACCCTTTCTTATAAAGATGTGCTATTTGGTTTTTGCAGTGTGCATCATACTAAAATTAAACAATATTACAGAATTAATCTGTTAATCAAGTAAACTATCAGCTGGTTTCATGTGGGCTGATAATGTTCACACCAAAGCTGAGACCAAATCCACGCTGTTTAACCATGAGTTAACCATGAGTTAACCATGAGTTAACCATGAGTTAACCATGAGTTAACCAGGACTTAACCATGAGTTAACCAGGACTTAACCAGGACTTAACCAGGACTTAACCAGGACTTAACCAGGACTTAACCAGGACTTAAGCGCTCAGAGGCGTACCCAGGTAGCTGTCATCGTACTGGGCTCCTGCAGACCGCGTGGCCATCGTGTTGCTGTATTGTTTAACGAAGTCATTGGTGGTTCGACCGAAAATCTCAGTAATGTCGTCGGAAATCAGCTGACCTGAGGAGAAGAGAAGAAAGCGTTTAAAATACCATCACGTACATTTACACACAAGTACATTTCACAAAGACAAGTCCAAAATAAGAGTGATTTGTAAATATCGTTAATATATTTTATTTTATTGTCTGTGGAATTGCAAGAGTGCTCACAAGTAAAGTATTTTTTAGGCAGTAAGAACAACCAAATAAATAAATAAATGAATAAAAATAAAATGGCTAAAAAGTTACATAGTGTGGCTTTAACAGGAAATAATTAAATTGAAAAGGATGACAAAATATGATACAAGATTTCTATTTTTTTGTTTGCGGACAGTTTCAAAAAACAAAAAAAAGCAAAGTAAAAGCAGTAATGTAGTGAAGCAGTGAGTTGTAAATAAAGTAAAATTGTTGAGTTTAAAGTGTGTACGATAGATTTTTGCGATTCTCTAATTTTGACTTAATTTGGTATGAAAATTACTTTTGTAAATATAAATTATAGTTTTGCACAAATCAAGAAACAATTTATGAAGAAAAGTTGAAAAAATTATCTTTTTTCTGATACTTTAAACCATTAATTCAACAAAATAATTTTCTTTTTCTTTTTTTATTACCATTATTATTTTTTTTGCACATAAATCAGATGTCACAGAAGAAAAAGAAAAAATAAATAAATAATTGTGTTTTCTTACATTCGTTTTTGTCAAATCATAATTTATGTGTACGTTAGAGAAGTTTTGGCGAGTAACTCTTATGGCATTCTCTAGTGTGACGTAAATGATTTCCAAACAGGAAGTCAAAATTTTAGATCAAAAAAAAAAAAAAAAAATAAAATAAAATAAAAATTGCGAAATCTCCAGATGAGTGTGAATGTTTTAGTAAAGTGAGTCGAACGTGTCTGAGGCGCTTTAAGTTTTAGAAAAAAAGAAAGTGAGAAACCTCCAAAACAAGATTGTGGTTTGTTTACGAGACAATAATGGTGAACAGGCAGAAGGAGGGAGGAGGAAGAAAGAGAGAGAGAGAGAGAGAGGGGAAGGGAGGAGACGGAGGGCGACAGAAATAGATGAATAAGGCAGAAATAGAGTGAAAGGAGGAGGGGAGAGAGGACGAGAGAGAAGGGTGTATAGAGACGGGGAAGACAGGAGGAGAGAGGAAGAGGAGAGGAAAGAGGAGAGAAGAACAGATGGAGAGAGAGAGAGAGAGAGAGAGAGAGAGAGAAAAAACAGGTGAAGAAGGGGAAAGAAACATGGGCTATGAGAAAGAAGAGATGGAGAGGTATAGAAGAAGAGAAAGATACAATGAGTGAGGGAGATTAGGGGAGAAAGAGCAAAAGAAAGAAAAAGAAAGATAAGAGAAAGAGAGAAAGGGGGACAAAGACAGGGGAGAGAGAGAACGAGAAGAAAAAGAGAAAGAAAGAGAAACAGAAAAAGAGAAAAAGAGAGAGAGAACAAGAGAGAAAGAAAAGGAATGAGATTAGAGAAAGAGAGAGAGATGAGAGAAAGACAGAAAGAGGGGGAGAAAGAAAGATAAAGAGAAAAAAATGAGACAGAAATAGAACAAGAGAAAGTAAGAAGAAGAGAAAGAAAAAGGGAGAAAAAGAGCGAGCGAGAGAGAGAGAGAGAGGAGAAAAGGGTGGAGAAGGGGAAAGAAACATGGGCTATGAGAAAGAAGAGATGGAGAGGTACAGCAGAAGAGAGAAAGATTCAATGAGTAAGGGAGATTAGGAGAGAAAGAGCGGAAGAAAGAAAGAGAAAGTGAGAAAGGGGCGAGAAAGACAAGGGAGAGAGAAAACTAGAAGAAAAAAAGAGAAAGGGAAAGAAAGAGAGAAACAGAAAAAGAGAGATGAGAAAAGAAGAAGAGAAAGAGCGAAAGAAAGAAAGAGAGAGAGATGAGAGAAAGACAGAAAGAGGGGGAGAAAGACATGGGAGAGAAAGAACTAGATACAAAGAAAGAAAGAGAGAGAGAGAGGAGGAAAGTGAGAAGTGAAAAGTGAGAAAGAAGGGTGGAGAGAGGGAGAAAAACATGAGCTGTGAGAAAGAAGAGATGGAAGAGATGGGGAGGTACAGAAGAAGAGAGAAAGATAGAGTAACAGAGGGAGAAGAGAGGTAGAAAGAGGGATAAAAAATAGATGGGAGGAAGGCAGAGACAGAGAAAGACGGGGTGAGAAAGAAGAGCAGAGGGAGGGGGAGGACAGGATAAAGACGGGAATAGGAGGGACGAGGTTTGGTAAATAGATTGAGAGAGAGTGAGAGGAGGAGAAGAGATAGAAAAGAGATGGAAGAATGAGCAAGTGGGCGATAGAGAAGAGAAAGAAAGAAGAGAGTGTTCTCATTTAGTGCTGGTTTGTTTAAATTTAGGAGAGAGAGAGGAGAGAGAGAGCGAAAGAAAGAAAGAGTAAAAAAAGAGAAAGAAATATAAAGAAAAAAGAGACTAAGAAATAGAAGAAGAGAAAGAGAAAAAGAATGGGGGGAAGAGAGAAAGAGGGGTAGAAACAGAGGGGAGGGAAAGAGAACTACAGAAAAAGAAAGAAAAAGAGAGAAAGACAGAAAAATAGAAAGAGAAAAAAGAAAGAAGAAGAACAAGAGAAAGAACAAGAGAGAAAGAAAAAGCGAGAGAAAGGGAGGAAAAGAGTGTGTTGAGAGAGAGAGAGAGAGAGAGAGAAAAGTGAAAAAAGAACGAAAGAGGGAGAGAGAGAACTAGAGAAAAAGAGAGAAAGAGAAATAAAGAGAAACAGAAAGATAAAGAGAAAAAATGAGAAAGAAATAGAACAAGAGAAGAGAAAGGACGAGAGAGAGAGAAAGGGAGGAAAAGAGTGTTGAAAGAGAGAGAAAGAGGGTGAAAAAAGAGTGAAAAAAAGAGGGGGCGAAAGGCAAGGGGAGAGAGAGAACTAGAGAAAGAAAAAGAAAGAGAAACAGAAAGAGAAAAAAGCGACAAAGAAATAATAGAACAATGGAAAGAGAAAGAACAAAGAGAGCAAAAGAATGAGAAAGAGAGGGGGAAAAAGAGAGAGAGAGAGAGAGAGAGAGAGAGAGAGAGAGAGAGAGAGAGAGAGAGAGAGAGAGTGAGTGAGTCAGCGTGGAGTGTGTTGGTCAGTGAAGTCCTTCCTTCTCTCAGACAAACAGGATTTACCAAATAACAGCTGAGTCCAAACTGATGATTAAAGACTTAAAGTGAAACGTGCTTTAGTCATGAGAGGCTCACACGGACAACGACGCACCATCTGCACTAGCACGAGCAGAAGTCATAGTAGTAACTGTTGAAGTAGTAGCAGTAGTAGCAGTAGTAACAGTTGTAGTAATAGTAACAGCAATAGTAAGAACATTTTTATTTTACATGTCGTGTACAGGGTCAACTCATCTGAACCAGCGATGGTGGTGGAAGTAGTAATGGTAGAAGTAGCAGCAAAAGTAGTAGAAGTAGTAGTAGTAGTAGAAACAAAAGTAATAGAAGCAGTAGTAGCAGTAGTAGCAGTAGTAGTAATAGAAGTTGTAGTAGAAGTCGTAGCAGCAAAAGTAGTAGTAGTAGTAGTAGCAGCAGTAGTACAAGTAGTAGCAGAAGGAGTAGCAAAAGTAGTAGTAGTAGTAGTAGTAGTAGTAGTAGTAGTAGTAGTAGTAGTAGTAGAAGTAGTAGTAGCAGCAGCAAAAGTAGTAGCAGCAGCAGTAGTAGTAGCAGTAGTAGTAGCAGTAGTAGTAGCATTAGTAGTAGCAGTAGTAAAAGTAGTAGAAGTAGTAGTAGTAAAAGTAGTAGAAATAGTAGTAGTAGTAGATATTTAAGTTTTATAAATAACAATTTTAGCACTAGAAATAGAAGTAGAAGCATCAGTAGCAGTGGTAGAAGCAGTCGCAGTAGTGGTAGTTGCAGTAGAAATAGTAGTAGTAAAGTAATAGTAAGAGTAGTAGCAGCAGCCGAAGTAAAAGTAGAAGTATTTAAATCTCTTACCCTGCCAGTAGTAGCTGCCTGGTCCTCCCACCACCACTTTGTTGTTCTGCACCAAAATAAATTGCTTTAGTTAAACACAGACTCAAGTGGAACAATGGCCCGTTTCATCAGGATTTACAGACAAAAGAAGGTTTGATTTGAGAAATATTTAAAATATCATAAAAAAAATATTGTACTCACCTTCACAAAGTCTGCACTGAACCCGGCCTGACAGAAGCCCTGCCCTTCAGGAGTGTTGGCCTCTGGAAACAAGACACACAAGACACTTTTAATTGACATTTATTATAAACAACATCATTGATCTCTTATAATGCTGTTTCCTCATCACAAACAGACATGGAGTTGTGTTTTGTTTTATTTACATGTTTAACACACAATGCCAACACATATTTAGGCTTTAGTTTTTCTCTCAAATGGAAAACACTTTGTTCTATCTTGTGATGTCATGTGGTAATACAGGAAGTGCTCCAGTGTGTTTTTAAATTCCATACACCTTCACTAAAATCATTTGGATGATTTCAGCCTGGATCTCGACTGAGCAAGAGGTAAAAGATCACTGTTAACTTGACAACTACCACTACATGACATCACAAGGTGGAACAGAGTTTTGGTGCTTTTAATGGGGTAACAACTAGGGATGGGCATTCGATTACATTTTCATAATCGATCGTTGGGAGAATTAATCATTAATGTTTTTATATTAAATGCAAGTGTACAACATATAAACCAGAACCACTCTAGAGCCACATCAGCCCATTTGACATTATAATGTGTTTAATGCAGCTTTGACACATTTGTTTATGTTTTACAGAAACAAAACTTAAAACCGCATATCTCATTTGCATAAACTGTAAGCAGTGAAAAAAACAGCTCTTTCCTTGTGCGCTGATGCAGTTCAGCTTCTGTTGGACTAAAGGACAGACTCAGTGGAACATGAGTGTTCGCTCTGTGTCAGAGGGATGTTGATGATGATAGTGAGTCTGTTCTTTGTGTATATCTTGTTGGAGATGCTTCATGTTTTCAGAGATCATACGTGTGCAGGTTTAGTGCAGCTCTTTATTTAACACTTTATTTATTTTGGCTACTGTTGTCATGAAAAGACTGAAAAGTGTTTGTGTTTTGGAAGCATGTGCACTCAACTTTATGTTGCAGTAACCAGGATACTGTGTTTACATGCACCATGTCGAAACCAGGACACTCAAAAAACCCGATCATACCTGAGACACTGATGTGTATTTATACACACTCACTGAGTGGTGCAGTGTCTCCAAGGAGCCAGAGCCCAAACGTGGGACTGTGAGGCACAACTCCAGTGTTTGTGTCAGACGCAGCCTCGTCTCCTTACGTTACACTAAGCACAACAACCTACATTTGGTTTATCGATTAAAAATTAACGTGATCGACAAAATTCTTAATGATCAATTATCGATGATCAATAGCTGACTAATCATGCCCATCCCTAGTCACAACATTATAACACGCCTTAAAGCTCTCAAGAGTCAGTATTGTGTAAGACAAGACCATTAAAACACAGAGGGACGGATTAGCAAAGGTGAGTTGAGAAATCAAGAAGTATTATATTGTTACTAGGGCTTAAAACCTATTTGAATGAATGCAACAAGCAAAACACAAAGGCTGCAATTTTTTTTTATTAATTTGAGCTCTGACTGTTAGATATTTTTCCAAATCGTCCAGCTGAAATTGATATTGTATTGGAAAATGCATTTATAAATCAAAAGTTTAAAGAAACAAGCAAACAAGTGACGATTTATAATTTATTTTTGTAGAATAAAAACTAAAATCCAATATACAGTAGATGATTTTAATTCCATACTAGGGAGAATTCCAGGTGAAACGTTTACCCCTCCCCCGCAATAAAGGTTACACAGTGCAGCTTTAAGTTCAAAGTTTGTACTCACGTGATCTGCAGGGAGAATATTCCACGATGGACGGCCCTTTTTTCAGATAACACGTCCCGACCGGCTCCCGCTCCGAAACACCAAATGTGGACCACTGGTACAGAGGAGCACAGGCCTGCAAGAGACACAAGAGACAGGCTAACCACTCTGCCACTGCACTCACCGAGACGAGGAGGCAGGAGAAGAGCTCGGGCCACAGTAACACAGATGGGAAGGTTTATTTGAGTTTGCGAGTTACCAGGATGTGCTCTCCGAACGACCGCACAGACGCTCCAAACCACTGTTTAGACTTGAACTCCATCTGAGCTCCATTTGTGTGCTTTCGGTCATCTGTGAGAGAGAGAGAGAAAAGGAAGAGAGAGGAGAGATGGGGACAGACAAGTGAGACAGACAGAGAGAGGGAGAGAGAAAGAAAGAAAGAGGGGGAGAATATATTCAGTAAACATCTGGGTTCAACAAAGGAACAACATATTGCAAATGACAGTTCTAGTACAATATTAACAACTTGATATTAACAAATTTTAAGTGAATTAATGTTTAATGTTCTTAAGCCAGACTTTGTTAGTCATAGAGCTGGGTTAGACCTGGTTTAGTCTTGGTCCTGGTTTGGGTTTGATTTTTTTCTTGTAATCTTCTGTTTCACTCAGACAATTAAAAGTTACTTAAGTGCATTTGTCCTCATTTAGTCCTGGTTTAGATCTAGTTTTGGTTTAGACCTGGTTTAGTTTTAGTTTAGACCTAGCATACACCTGGTTTAGTCCCAGTTTAGTCCTGGTTTAGTTTTAGTTTATACTTGGTTTAGTCCTAGTTTAGTCCTGGTTTAGTTTTAGTTTATACTTGGTTTAGTCCTAGTTTAGTCCTGGTTTAAACCTGGTTTAGTCTTGGTTTACACCTGGTTTATTCCTGGTTTAGTCCTGGTTTAGTCCCATTTCAGACCCAGTTTTGTTTTAGTTTTGTCCTGGTTTAGACCTGGTTTAGACCTGGTTTAGACCTGGTTTAGTTTTTAATTTTGTCCTGGTTTAGTCCTGACTCCTGGTTAAGTCCTGGTTAAGTCCTGGTTTAGACCCAGTTTAGTCCTGGTTTAGACCCAGTTTAGTCCTGGTTTAGATCTGGTTTAGACCTAGTTTAGTCCTGGTTTAGTACTGGTTTAGACCCAGTTTAGACCTGGTTTACACCTGGCTTAGTTCTGGTTTACTCCTGGTTTAGTCCTGGTTTAGACCTAGTTTAGTTCTGGTTTAGACCGCAGTTTAGCCCTGGTTTAGTCCTAGTTAGAACTAGTTTAGTCATGCTTTCATTTTAGTTTATACCTGGTTTAGTTTTAGTTTAGTCCTGCTTTAGTCCTGCTTTAGTCCTGCTTTAGTGCTGTTTAGTCCTGCTTTTGACCCTTTGTTTTATTTATATTATATGTTTGGTGGAGAGTCCTTTCATTACAACTTGACTGTGGTCTTAAGGCCGTGCGCAGAAGCAGCTGGTCCCTGTGTCAGACTCAAACATGAGACCTCTCCATGAGCTCAGATCCTGACTGAGGCGTGGGCGGAACAGGATCAGAAAGTTTGTGTGAGGAGCAGACGGTGAGGAAGCACAAGGCCGAGGGTTACACAGACAAAAGTACAACTCACAAGTCACGGCATGGGGTCTTTCTCTATTTCAGAAAATATCATCTGTTAGTTAAGGCCACTACAAACTGAAACTGAAATAAGGACTGTGCCATTATGTTAATCAAATTGTGATAAAATAGTTTGCAGATGGAAACTGTGGGATGGATCAATGTGGGTCTTTTTAACAGGAGGAAGTATTATTTAAATCGATTCTACTTGTACCTCTCACAGATCCTTCAGCACACTGTATTCACATGCACATATTTTAGGCACATACACAGCTTTACCCCAGTTTGAGAAAAAGGGAGATACTATACATTAGGGCCCGACCGATATAGCGGTTGGCCGATATGGGCGCTTGGAAACATATCAGCTATCGGCCTAAATCTTGCCGATATGAGCCGATATTTCACATGGGCATGTTATAAATTGTTCTAAAGCTTAGACTCTCTACATTATGTTCTTTTATTCAACTTACAGACAGATAAATGTCCTAATATGTGGCTCCGCATCAGTATTTATCTGCAGAGTCATTTGTCTGTGTGTGTCCGTACTGTCCCTGAACACACCACCACAGTCACGTCACTCACGTGTGTTTGTTTACACCCGCAGACACGGATCCAAACACTGAGATTATTTTCTTTTCACGGACAATCGGTTTGAGTCTGGATTAAAAGGACATTTATTCGTGCAGACTTGTGATGTGAGAGGAGCCTGTGCGTTGGGAATATGTCCATTTTGAGGTTAGTTTTGGTTATTTCTCATTGGTTAGAGATTAACTGCTGTAGCTCCCACACATAAACAGACTGTTTTCTCTTCTATTGGCCGACTGTAAAGTGATTATATTGGCTGTATATTTGTTACTGGACCTGCATTGATATGTAAATGAGCTGTGAATAGACGTGTGAATGATCCACATTTACATATATCATTAATTACCATGACTTGCATGCATTTATGCCTAAAGTTTAATTACTTTACTGGTTAGAATGTGATGCAAAAATGCCATTAGGCTGATGTAGAATAACAATAAATGTTGCCTAAATAAACCCAATTTAAAATCCACTAGAGTCAAACGTAAGTTTTTTAAACAATTCAAGATTTACAGTGAATTTTTACATCACTAAATATATCGGCGATTATATCGGCAGCTCCAACTCCCACTTTATCTGTATCATATTGTGCCACAACAAAATCCATATCGGTCAGGCTCTACCACACATACATAAAGATACGACACATTACACTTTCTGCCATATCACCCACACGATAGATTCTCACCATGTTTTGACTTCACAAACTCACAAGGATTCATCTCAGCGTGCAAACACCAATGTGAACCAAAACAAACATGGCGACGCCAACACATGGCCTTCATCATAATGTAGCAGAAATACAGACTATTCTGTTCTGGAAAAACATGCAAAAGGAAACAGTGTGTCTATTTGTGAAGGGAAAGATCTCTGTGCTTTTCACTCAACTGGATTTGACAAAAGTTTGATTTCTCTGTTTGTTCCACTGTTGTGATGTTTCAACCAATGAGTGTGAAGTATTTGTTTGAACGCCCGTGCATCTGGAGCTGGATCCGATCTCCCTTATTTCAGAGGGTGTGATTGACACATGGATTAACCAATCAAAGAGATGCATGTTCCGTTCATGTCAAAAACGTAACAAAAGGGGGAAAAACTGCAATCAGTATCAACAATCAAAGCACCAAACTATTATTTATCTCAAGTAAGTTATACATTTTCTTCTGAATTTTACAAGAATTTTGGAGGGGGCTGTCTTCTGTAGTTGCATGTGCTACAAATTAGTCAAGTTTGGACAGAGATTTTTCACCCTCTGTGGTCTAGTTCCAGACCTTCTGGATTCAAGCAGAATGCAGAAGAGACCGGCTGCTCAGGCACAGTTATCTGTGACTGATAATGTGAACTCTACTCTCAGAGATACACATATGATCAGGCAGACTACTATCTCCCTGTCCTCTCTGAAATTCTTAAATGAGTTCATATTTGTGTGTTCTTATTGTGAACTGAAAAATATAAATCACAAATGTGAGCAGTACCACAGTTTGAGAAGCACTGCTCTGCTGCTAATGCTGTTAGTGGCTAATGACAGCATGCCCCAGTTTCTGTGTTAGCGTCACAATAGAACCTTTGTCACAGTGTGACCTCTGCTCAGCCGGCCTCAGGTTTTACTGGACAACACTAAACAGAATATTTGAGAATTAATTGAATGCTTCCTGTTAAAACTCACTGAAAAATTTTATGACTTTTGACCAATATTTTCTTATTATTTTATATAGAAGATCATTTGTTCTATTTTATGTTTAGTTTACTGCCTATGTAAACAAAATATGAAGAGGTCATTTGCCTTAGTACAATTTATTCAGCAATCTGCACTGCAATTAAAATATGGAAAAAAAAACAAAAAAAAAAACTGCCAAACTCTGTCATGTCAAGTCCTGGTTTAGACTTGTCCTAGTTTAATTGAAGGTCTTATATTACTCATGACAGACTGATGTGAGCTTTAAGCTATGTTATAATGTTACTTCAGCTAAAACAGACCTGAGGTTGTGTTTTGTTTCATTTACACATGTTTGAATAATCCTTTACTATTAATCTATGTACCTCTGAAATGGTAGTTTTCAAGTTTGCAGCTGCCTTTTACCTTTACTTCAATAGACTGGCAATTCCAGGGCTGAAATAATCCAAATGACTCTAGTGTAGGGGTATGGAGTTTAAAAACACAGTGTAGCACTTCCCGTATTACCACATGACATCACAAGGTGGAAGGAAGTGCTGGAATTCTGTTAAACATTTATGAATGAAACAAAACACAACTCCAGGTCTGTTTTTGATGAGGAAACATTATTACAAAGATCCGAAAACAGTGAAATATAGGCCCTTTAAGGTTCTCTTTTAGTCTCTTTTAGGATTTAGTTTAGGTTTAGTCCCACCTTAGTCCTAGTTCAGTCCATATATTTGCAGTACTACAGTAATCTCTTGTCTAGCCAATGAAGCATACAATAATCTGACGACGACATCCCTATGCAGATCTCTAGAAGATTAAAACCTACACAATACATCAGGTTTGCTCAAGTTCAAATTAGTCCACAGACTTCCAGTAAGTATTAACATTTTCCCCTTATTGTCCATTCAATTCTGAGGAAAGTTTGTTTGTTTGCACCAAGGCGCTGGTGCCTTGGGTCTGTGTTACTTCATCACCTGCAAATAAATCACAACTTACTGCAGCAAAACAGGCCCCGAGGAAACAGGCAGATTCACACAAGTCAGAGTTTTACCAATGTCCCTAACCCAAAAACTATATTCAGGGCTCCCACTCTTTTTCACGGGTAAAATTTCAAAATGTTTCCATGACTTTTTCATGACCTAAAGTGAATTTTCCATGACTTTACAGCACCTACATTTGTAGAATTGATCAGACTTTTAGGGCTAAGTATGAATTGTTAACCCTTTCCACTCACTTTATGGTTTGGGATTATACACAGCAAAGTAAAGAGTAAAATATTTAAGTGTTGTTTTTAACACCGGAAGTGTTATTTTAACTATTTGAAAATTAAATTGAGGTTTGAGTTGGGGTTATTTGCCAGAGTTGATATGGTTGAAGTTAATTCAACTTCTCTTAGTGTTAATTTGGCTCCTCCCACTCACCACTTAAAACTACTGTGAGAGAAGACCAACTTGAACCAGTTTTGTTCATAATTCCATC